ACCTTTCGAAGGACATAAGGGTTGCATCCTGTTTCAGGTGATTTAGGAAAAAAGCTGCTGCAGACATCTGTGTCTTGACTGTCGTGTGGGTGTTTTCAGGTCCGCTGAGTGTGTGCCTGGGAGGGTGATGGCTGGTTCCTGTGATAAGAGTGTGTTTCGCTGTGTAAGAAACTGGCAGACTGGCTTCCAGAGCAGCCGGACCATCCCTCACTCCCAGCGCAGTAAACGGGGGCTGCTATCCTCCCCAGCAAGTGGCAGCACCCCTGTGTTCAGTTGTAGCCATTCTAGTCTGTGTTGTGCTGTCTCACTGTTGTTTTAATTTGGGGCAGCTTCTTTTTGATTCTTGTGTCCTAGATATTAAACCTAGTAGTAATAAACACTTTATTTTTTGTTTATATTGTTGAAAGAAGGAGCAAGTGAAATAACTTTGTCGAATTACCAAAGGACTTGAGTGTGCACCAGATTCCTAGGCCTCTCTTTGAGAGTGATGTTTCCAGGCCCCGACAACATATTTCCCACACGTATGCATCAGTTGTGTTTACTGTTAGGAGGGGATGGTGGTTCTTAGAGAACCTTGAGGCAGAGTATGAGTAAGTTATGGAACAAAGCAACAAAATCATCAACAGTTTCCACCTTGGAGCCCAAGTTCTAGAGCAAGGGCCCCCGCTGGTGTACAGGGAATGGGCTACAAGTGGCAAGGACTGTGTTCCCCTTGGCCTGCGCGGTGGAGACGGAGGCTGTAGGCCTTGGACCAGTCATACCACGTGCCATAGAAATAGCATTCTTTCCTGTGCCTGCCACGCTCAGGGAGCTGGGGGTACTGGCCTGGCGTTTGGGGGCTCAGAGCCAGGTTTTTGATGCTTCCCTAGTTTTTCACTCCATTTTTCCATGGTATGCACAGTTTCTCTTTTCCTGATTTCCTTTTTTTTTTTTCTTTTTGTATTGTGGTAAAAATACACATAACATTTTCCATCTTAACCATTTTTAAGTGACAGCTCAGTGGCGTTAAATGCGTTCGCCCTGTTGTGCAGCCGTCACCACCATCTTTCCCCAGAATTCTTCATCCTGTGAAATGGAAACTGTACCTACTTAAACATGAACTCCCCCTCCCCCCAGCCTAGCAAGCACCAGGGCACTGTCTGTCTCCGTGCTCTGGAATCCTAGGCACCTGGCTCTGTGGTACCTTGTTTCACTGCACATAATGTCCTCAAGGTTCATCCGTGTTGTGGCAGGAGTCAGAATGCCCTTCATTTTAACGCTGAGTGATCCTCTGCTGTGTGCACTGACTCCACTCTGCTTATCCAGTCAGTGTGCCCGCCTCACCCCCGTCTCCGCCGGGTTTCCCGTTTGCCTCCGTTTCCTCGTGCTCTTCTGCAGGCACCGTTTGGCGGAGGCGCAGACCGTCCAGGTCCGAGTCCTGGTTCCTAGTGATTTGAGACCTTGAATAACCAGTTACATAACCTCTGTGAGCTCCATTCCTCATCTGTGAAGTGGATCTGGAGTAGTGGTGCTTGTCTCTTAGACTTCTCTTTTCAAGTAATCTCCACGCCCAGCTTGGGGCTCGAGCTCACCAACCTGAGATCAAGTCGCGCACTCCACGGACTGAGCAGGCCAGGCGGCCCCATCTCATAGATGCCCGTTAGAGTGAAACAGGGTGGTGTAGGGAAAGACTTAGCATGTGCCTGGCACCTAAGAGGTTTTTTAGGGTTTTGTTTCATTACGTTTTAAGATTTTATTTATTCACTTGAGAGCGACAGCACAAGCAGGGGGAGAGGCAGAAGGAGAGGGAGAAGCAGGCTCCCTGCTGAGCTGGGAGCCCGATGCAGGGCTCGATCCCAGGACCTGGAGATCATGGCCTGAGCCGAAGACAGATGCTTAACCATCTGAGCCACCCAGGCGCCCCCCACATAAGAATTTTTCTACAAATATTAGTTACTAAAACGTGCTCAGGGTGCCTGGCTGGCTCCGTTGGTTGAATGTCGGACTCTTGGTTTTGGTTCAGGTCATGATCTCTGGGCTGTGGGGTTGAGCCCCACTTTGGGCTCCCCGCTCAGTGCAGAGTCTGCTTGAGATTCTCTCTCTGCCCGCCCCTCAAATAAGGAAAGAAACTTTAAAGAATAGAACGTGCTCCCTGTACTCTTGAAACGTCTCATTCCTTTCGGCGTGAGGTTGCGGAGGAGGGGGAGTATCCTGTAGCCGTGAAACCGAGTCTGAGAGACGGGTGCAGCCTCCGCCAGGAGTGCTCTCCAGTGGCCCAGCCTGGGGTGTGAAGCTGAACTACAGACTGCGCTGTGGCCGGGGCACCCCAGGCCTCCCACCTTGTAGCTGTCTGTCTGGCCCTGTGATGACAGCAGTAGCACAGCTCTGGGTCCCTGGGGGCTCTTGGGGGGTGCTAGAGCCAGTTCCTGCATATCTGCAGGAGGAGGCCTGTTGGTGGGCCTGGGGAGCCCGCGGTGCCTGCAGGGGGCTGGAGGACAGGACTGTCTCTGTGGGCTCTGGCTCTCCTGTCCCAACTCTCGCCCACTGCCCCTGCTCCCCAGGAGAGGAGAGGAGGAGGGGGAGGAGGAGCTGGGGACAAGATGTCTTTCTGCTTGGCTTCTGGCCAGCTCAGCTGCACCGTGGGCACCGACAGTCATGCCAGGGAAACATTGGAATTAAGAGACGCATGTGGAGTGTCAACAGAGAAGGTTTCTGGGTCTGTGGGAAGAGCCGGGAAGCTGGCATATTTGTTGTGGGCAGATCCCTCTGCTACATAGTTTTTAAGTCCTGTCGTGAGAGCTTGAGACTTGGGTGGGAGCATTGTTGGCCTAACGTTAAGTGTTAAAGTGGTGGCTGGGGACATGGCCCTGCCATGGTGAGAGTGACACACATGGATCGGAGGGGGAGCGACATCTAAAAAGCAGTGAGGGGGCTGCCTGGGTGGCTCAGTGGGTTAAAGTCTCTGCCTTTGGCTCAGGTCATGATCCCAGGGTCCTGGGATCGAGTCCCGTATCAGGCCCTCTGCTCGGCAGGGAGCCTGCTTCCCACCCCCTCTCTGCCTGCCTCTCTGCCTACTTGTGATCTCTGTCTGTCAAATAAATAAATAAAGTCTTTTTTTATCTCTTTGCCGAGCTGAGAGCCCGATGCGGGACTCGATCCCAGGACCCTGGGACCATGACCTGAGCCAAAGGCAGAGGCTTTAACCCACTGAGCCACCCAGGCGCCCCAATAAAATCTTTTCTTTTTTTTTAAGACTTTTATTTATTTGACAGATCACAAGTAGGCAGAGAGAGAGAGAGAGAGAGGAGGAAGCAGGCTCGCCGCTGAGCAGAGAGCCCGATGTGGGGCTCGATCCCAGGACCCCAAGATCATGACCTGAGCCAAAGGCAGAGGCTTTAACCCACTAAGCCACCCAGGCACCCCAATAAATAAAATCTTTAGAAAAAAATAAGGGGTGCCTGGATGGCTGAGTCATTAAGTGTCTACCTTCAGCTTAGGTTGTGATCCAGGGTCCTGGGATCCAGCCCCGCATTGGGCTCCATGCCCAAGCAGGGAGGCCTGCTTCTCCCTCTCCCACTCCCTCTGCTTACGTTTCCCCTCTTTCTCTCTCTCTGTCAAATAAATAAATAAATAAATAAATAAATATCTTTTAAAAAGTAAAATAAAAAGCAGTGAGGCCCAGTTGATGGGGTGTTGGGTTCCCTTTACGATGCTTCCGGACCTTCTTCACAAAGATGGGATCCAGCTGCCAGCTGTGGCAGACCGGTTCTGGGACCCACCCTTTATATTCGAGACGCGGCACATGGGACTGACGACGTGAGCACCTTCTCTGGCTCCTCACGCTGTGTGGGAACAACTACAGCCGACCCTTGAACAACACCAGTGTGAACTGCGTGGGTCCGCATATATGTGGATTTTTTTTTGCAGTACAGCACTGTAAATGTATTTTCCTGATTTTCTTAACATTTTGTTATATCTGGCTTACTTTTCTTAAAGCCTGCTTTACTGTAGGAATGCAGTACGCAATACATGTCAATACAGAATGTGCTAGTGGTCTGTTTATGTCACGGGTAAGGCTTCTCGTCAATAGACTGTTTGTAGTTCTGTTGGGAGGCGTCAGGAGTTATACATGAAGGAGCACCAAGGTACTCAGTTGGTTAAGCATCGATCTTGATCTCAGCTCAGGTCTTGATCTCAGGATCATGAGTTCAAGCCACGCTGGGCATAGAGCCTACTTTAAAAAAAAAAAAAATTCTGTGTGGATTTTTGGCTGCATGGGGGATGGGCGCCCCTAACCTCTGCACTGTTCAAGGGCAAACTGTAGTTCATAATTTCTCCTTCGTGCTCCTCCATTTTAAAGCGTCCCTTGGTTCTCTGGGTCCATTTGTCTCTGATCAGATGTCGTGTGATTACAGGATCCAGTCAGTCTCGGGAGCAGCCATCCAGTAGCTCTGAGGAAGCATCTGGCACAGAGGAGGAAGGGGAGGAGCAGCCCAGCTTCACCATGGGGCGATGACAGTGTTTGCTGTAGTGGCCGGCTGGAGCCTGGCCCATTCTGCGGCCGAGCCTCAGAAAAGCCTCCACACAGCCCGAGGCAAAGGAGGCCGTTTCAGCTCAGTTCTCCTCCCAGCGCCTTGCCGGAGAGAAGCAAGCGGGAACCCATCCTGACTGTTGACAGCCCCGCCTCTTGGCAGGCCTCCGTGCCTGTGGGACAGAGACCGCGTCCTGGACCCTTGGGGCACCGCCGAGCAGAGTTCATTCACGTTCGGCTGATGGGGAACACGTATCACCTTGTGCCCCTGGTGCCTCTTCTCCTGTTTGGACAGTGATGAGTTTGGACTAGTTTCTGTGGAAGAAACGTTTATTTAGTAAAGAACAGAAACATCAGGTTTTGTTCAGACCTGTCTGATGTTGTTCCAGAGCTACAGGGACGGCTGGGAAGCGATGTGACAGGGGTGGGCCTGTTTCCAGGCTTGCTGACGGAAGTGGCCCTGGCTCTGGGGCAGCCCGCACTACACACTGCAGGACCCCCACTTCCTCCAGCTGAGGGTTAGACTGTTGGGGTTATTTATCTCCCGTTCCAAGTTTCTAAGTATATTTTGTGCCTTTTATTGAGTGTGATAGAATTAAGGAAATAGTGGTTTTGAGCGAAGGGAAACTAAGAAGCATTTCACTTGTTTTTTCATTTTTGCAGTATGGATTTTCCTGGCCCCACCCTGAGCCAGGCGACATCTGTGAGCACTTCTGTCCTTTAAGCAATTCAAGCCACAGGAATTTTTCTTTCCTGGGGAGCTGAAATGGAAAATCAGCACTAATAAATTAGCACACCCCGTGGCTGTACGTTTTGGAACCTGTGTTTCTCTTGCTGCCAGGGACCGGCTGGTTAGTTTTGTGTTTATTTTTTGTTCTACTATCTTGGTACTGTTGGTTTCCTTATCTCCCCGCAAGATGTGTGTCACAACTCTTGCTTTGAGTCTCCAGCCTGCATCTCATGGGTGTTCTTTCGCCCTGGAGGCTGTCCACAGTGCTAGAGCTTGGAGCCTGAAGACCTAGGTATTCCAGTGCTTTTTTTTTTTTTTTTTTTTTTTTTTTGAAGATTTTATTAGAGAACACAAATGGCAGAGAGAGGGGGACAAGCAGACTCCCTGCTGAGCGCAGGTCCCAGTGTGGGGCCTGATCCCAAGACCCGAGATTGTGACCCGAGTCATAGACACTTCACCCACTGAGGCACCCAGGTGCCCCCCTGGGTATCCAGTTCTGACGCCGCCTCTGGTACATCTGGCCCAGAGCTTATTAATGTGATGGATGGGGGGCGATGGGGGCGGGGGGGTGAATGCCAGAGCAAACAGCAGGATGTCGCGCTGGAGGGTTATGTTCTGCACCTTTCGTGGGTTTTGGAAGAGGATGTTTAGGTAGAAAATGTGTAGTAATTTCTGGCAAATTTTTTTTTTTTAATCATTTGACAGAGAGAGATCACAAGTAGGCAGAGAGGCAGGCAGAGAGAGAGAGAGGGGGGAGGAAGCAGGCTCCCTGCGGAGCAGAGAGCCCAATGTGGGGCTCGATCCCAGTACCCTGGGATCATGACCTGAGCCAAAGGCAGAGGCCTTAACCCACTGAGCCACCCAGGCGCCCCAATTTCTGGCAATTTTTAAGGGGCTGTCAGTACCAGGTAAATGACGGTCTTCAGGGTATCCTTTGAGAAAAGGAAACAGTTAGGTGTCATCATGGAGAAGGGAGTAGGAGATATGGAGAGACTCCCACCCTATTCCCCCTGACAAGAAAAACCATGATGAGGAGAGAATTGTTCAGTAATGCCCTCGCTGATCAGCTTGGGGTTGGGGGGCGGGCAATGGGGACTTGATTCACAAAGGTGTGCCTAACTTGGCTGTCTCAGGAAGCCACGCGTATAGGAATTCTGATTCGCTTCATTTACTTCCTCGCTCCCTGCGTTTCTGTTGAGCACTTCATGGGACAGCCCTATGCTAGCCAGAGTTACTTGCATTAGAATACTGCGTCCTTCAACTAGATGTCCCTTACAGGTTTACTAGACGAGATTTATAAATACAGAGAGGTCTGAAAACGCCCGGATCACCCAGCAAGTAAGTGGCAGAATCCCACAGTCCAGCCCCTGCACCGTAGCGCTGTGCTGCCCCCGGAGAACGTGTGGGGCCCAGACCTGCTGGGGAGGGAGGCCGGTGCAGCTCTCTTGGTGCCAGAGCTGTAGGCTGAAGGCCGCTCCTTCAGTAAGCTCCCAGTGCATGTGCGTGTGTAATAATGTATATGCTTGTTTTATTTATTTAGTTATTTAGTTATTTATTTGACAGAGAGAGATCACGAGTAGGCAGAAAGGCAGGCAGAGAGAGAGGAGGAAGCAGGCTCCCTGCTGAGCAGAGAGCCCGATGTGGGGCTTGATCCCAAGACCCTGGGATCATGACCTGAGCCGAAGGCAGAGGCTTTAACCCACTGAGCCACCCAGGCGTCCCTATATGCTAGTTTTAAATACAGTTGCCCCTTAGTCTTCACAAGGTCTGTGTTTGTGAATTCACCCGTTCACTAAGGCTTACCTGTGATGCCAAGATGAATACTCGTGCTTTTGCGGTCACGGGTAGACGTGCACAGAGTGGTGACGAATTCAAGTGGCCCCATGAAGGGTTTGCAGCTGAGTTCAAACAAGGCAGTGATCTGCCTTCCTGTTTGGCTCAAACGTGTCTATTGAATGGCAGTTTTTTTGCATTTTTTGCTTTTCCTGGATGGTTTTGCCTTTTAAAATGGCCCCAAAGCACAGTCCTCGAAGTACTGTCTAGTGTCCTAAACAAGAAGGCCGATGTGCCTTAGATGAGCTCTGTTCAGGCATGAGTTACGGTGCCGTTGGCCGCGAGTTCGTCATTAATGAATCAATACATGTTAATTGTTTTCATTTTTTAAATTTTTATTAAGATTTTTTTTCAAGTAATCTCTACACCCAACGTGGGGCTTAAACTCACAAGCCCTAGATCAATGATCTTGGGCTCGTGGGACCAAGCCCCTGGCACAGAGCCTGCTTGAGATTTTCTCTCTCTGCCCCTCACCCCCATAAAATAAAATAACTTTAAAAAAAAAGCCATATGCTTCCCCCACTGAGTCAGCCAGGGACCCCCAATGAAAGTGTTTATAAACAAAAACACAGATAAAACACGGTTATGTGACGATTGGTTGATGTGACGGGGGGGATGTCACAAAAACACCCCTATTTCCCCAGGCAGCAGTGGTTCAGTATTCACTAATCAGCACCCAGCATTTGCAGTGACTTTCTGGAACATAATAACTACATGAATCATGAGAACCAACTGTGCGTGTGTTTGGAGAGTGAGGGAGCGTGCACGAGCAAGCCTGGCCTTCCGGAGAGCAGCGTTTCCTGAAGCACGGATTGGACGTCACTGCTGTGTTCCCTGTGCGCACAGTACTTGGTCTCACCGGGCGGATCCGGAGCTGGACTCCTCAGTCCCACTCTGAATGTAGGACCAGAGAAGTCACATGGGAGGGAACCAGCACTCCCCACCTATCCTTCGGTCTTCCCTACTGTGTTCATCTCCCACCATCATGTGTTTTCCCGTGTCCTTCCGCGGCCCTGTCCCCCGCAGCGGGTACCCGTCTCCTAGAGCAGAGAGAAAGCAGAGGTTCAGGCGGAGGCCTCATGCCCCACCACTTCATCCCGCCGGCTTGCCCTCCAGGTGCACTGCCTGGTGCACGCAGCCCTGCCCCCCAGCCACAACAACAGAGCAGGGCCGCCGCCCCTTGTACCTCCTCCCGTCTCAGCCCAATTTCCAGAGAAGTCTCTGTTTGCTTCCACCTCTCCCATCATCCCAGGGAGCCTCGGTGTTGCCGCATCCAGCCCTGGGGGCATCTGTATTATATAGAAGCCCAAACCCTTAGCATCGCTGACAGCACTGCCTTCTGCCTTTCCCTGGCTTGCTTCGCTGCTCAAATTCTAAATGTTAGGGTGACCTAGTGCACTGCCTTTTATGGTCAACACTCAGGCCCCAGGAGATCTTAGTCTGACCCACGGCTTTAAATACCGCCCTCGCGGCTGTCTTCCTTCCGAGGTGTGGCTTCAGCTTGCCTTTGGAGCCTCTGCCTCAGCCTGGGTCCGTGTCCCACTCCCCTCACCCCTGCTCTGCCTCTTCCCGCCCATGCACCGGCCTCGACTTCGCACCCAGCCTGTTCTGTTCCCTTGCACCCATCCCTTGCACCCATCCCTTGCACGCTGTTCAGCCTCCTGCCACACCAGCGTCCCTCACATCCCCCGGTCAACTCCGAGCGCCACCCGAGCAGGGACCTGCCTGTCCTGTGCTTTGCTGTACCTCTAGTGCCAGCACAGGGCCTCGGGCATCACAGGTACTCAGTGATGTCCGCTTCGGTGATTGAGCAAATCTCAGGGCCTGAAAGCGAGCAGGGAAGTTGTTCGTACCTGAAAAACTGGCCCCCGTGGCAGGAAGAGCTGAACACGGGCACACGGTCAGCCGTGTGTGCCGGAGCCGCAGATGTGATGCCCCAGGCGGCCGCAGAGCCCGCCTCAGACCTCCAGACTGTCAGGCCGGTCCCGGAGGCCAACTGCTCGCGGCTCAGGCATTTCAGACGCGCTGCAGGTGTCCCTGTATCTTCAGAAACTGGCTTGGAACCGGCGGAGGACTGTAACTAGTTCAAGTTCCCTTTCCTGTTTGCGACATGGAGCTTTTTGGAAAAAGCCAATTATTCAGTTGAGTTAGAGGAGTGATATTTTGTTGACTTTCAGAAATAGGAATGTAACTCAGTCCGTCTCCAGGCTGCCTGGAAGGAGAGCGGGGAGAGCTCGGTTTCCTTCTGCAGCGGCGCCGGAACCGGGTGCGCCTTCTGCCCTGTGCAAGCTCATTTATGTCTACCTTTTGGCACATACTTGACTAAAGTGAGCTACCGTTACCATATTTTAATATATTTCTGTAAGGAAAACACCATGGCAGAGGTCCTGAGGCATTTTTCAGTTTTCTTATTCCACAGAATATAGCAAATGTTGATTAGGACCAAAAGCTTAATCTCAAAGATCCGTAAGTGTACTTGGCCCAGCACTGGGGATGATGGTGAGCAAGACACAGGCCTTGGCTTGAAGGAGCTCCAGATCTGATAAGAGACACAGACAAGAGAAAGGTCAGTGTGGTGGCCCGGTAGCACAGGATGGCATGTGACCCAGGCCTCCGGGATGTGGGCAGGGCTGAGCTGAGCTGGGTGGCTCACAGCAGTTTTAAGAAAGCAAGCTGAGTCCGGATTAGTAGCAGATGCCCTGTCACCGCCTGAGTCACTAGGTTAAGGGGATTAAAGTTGATCTAAGGCCGCAGGGAAACCTGAAGGGCTGGAGGGGGGCTGGAGAGATGGGAATTTTTCCACTTCAGAGTGTGGAGATTAGATGGGAAGGGGACAGGTGGAAAGGTCTTGCAGGAATGCAGAACAGAGGTGACGAGGGCCTGAATTAGCGTGGGACCTGTGGGACCAGGGAGAAACGGGAGAGTTCACAGGACTGGTTGGGGGTGGGAGGAATCAGGAATGACAGCAGATCTGTAATGTCACCAGCTGGGTGGCTGGTGGAACTCCTTGAGACAGGGGACCCAGGAGGTAGAGCAAGCAGGTGAGGAAAGATAAGGAATTCAGCTGTGAGTGTGGCGGGCGGCAAGGGGGTGGGGGGATGGGGAGGGTGTCTTGGGACATGCCCTGCCAGGCTGAGGGAGATCTGGGCTGGAGATGACCATTTGGAGTCAACAACCTCCTTGAAACAAGGGGAGTGGGGAAACCCCCACATCTAGGGGACAGACAGCAGAGGGGGAGGCTGCACAGGTTAAAAAAAAAAAAAAAAAAAAAGGGCACCGGGGCAAGGAGAGTTGTTTCTAGATGGGAGGAAGGCACAGCGGAAATCTGTCCTGGAGTTAGTTTCACAGTGGCAGTGGGCTGTTGAGGGCCGGGAAGGAAGTGGTGATGACAGCTCTCTTGAGAAGTGTGGCATGAAGTAGGGGAAGGGCAGTGGTAGGAGAGGTCAGAAGGGGTCAGTCAGGCTGAATGGGAGGGGAGGCAGGGGTGGGAGGCGCTGGTCTCAGCACAGGCTAGGAGGCAAGGTGGAACAGGCTGGCAGCTGGGTGAGAAAGGCTCAGGAAGTGGGAGGTGCAAATTTAAGATCTAAAGGGCAGTGACAAGAACTAGCCATAGGCGTCAGTGGCCAAGGGGATGGAACTATCAGGAGGCTGGATACATTGTCCCGAGCAGGTGAGCAGCCAGCCAGAGGAGAAGACCCAGGGAAAAGGAAAGCAGAGGCCGTGTTCTTCCTGGAATGAGAGGGTGTGCATTGGTGGGAAAATCAGAACATGATTGACCCATGGGATGTGCCTTGGAGAATTGGGTCTTCCAAGCTGAGGCGCAAGGAGAAGAATCGACTTGCCGTGGCCAAACTCCTCAGGAAATCACAGCCCAGACTGTACTTGGACATGACAGCTGGGTGGCGCTCCCATGGGCCTTGCCCTGACCCTCTGTGCACTTGACGGGTCCTCCAACTGCTAGCATTCTAACTGCTCCTCTCCGTTCAGCACGGTGCTGGCACCTTCCTTAATCTTCTATGGGGGAGAAAGCCGTTTTCTGTGTTTGGTTAGGAAACTGGCTCCGAAAACCTCTGGCGATGATGACTTAGATCTTGCTTCTGTCTGGACATGCTGGGTGAGTGCGCTTGGGGCTGGAGGCACCACTCGCTGGAACGTTTCTAATGGGTGTGCAGTCAGACTCCAAGGGTGAAAATTAGAGCAAGTGATTCTGTTGTGGAAAGAATGGTCATCTGTGATGCCAGTGATTCAGTTTACAAAGTGTTTCTTCCTGTTTTCCACATCATTTTACAAAGAGCTGTTGGGTTTTGAGGGTTCTGTCCCCTAAAATGCAAATGATCCCTTTCTTACAGCCCTCTGTAACGTGTGTGCTTGTGTGTTGGGCAGAGGGTCAGTAATCAGACCTTGGGATTTTCCTAGGCTGTTTTCCTGGTCTGTTTTTTAAGTGTCTTCCTGAATTAAAAGGTGTCATTCTGGCTCTCAGTAACGGCCTCTAAGATACATCTTGAGAGAGAAACGGATTTGGCCTGACATCCATTCACTTCTCTTCTCACGGCTGTCAGAAAACTTGGACCGGTTGACATGAGTGGAATTTTTCTTTCATTTGGATAAATGTGTCACTGTCGGATAGGGTTGTGACAGATGGAAAAATCCTATGTAGGGCATGCAGGAAGGACTGTGAGGGGCCTTCTGGCACAGGGGCTTGATATGAACCCATCTCGGCTCTCAGTTAGTCTCTTAGTTAATTATTCATATGCACTTCCTGAAAAGAATGTTCCTGTTTGAACAGCTCGGTAGAACAGCTCGGCTTGGTGGACGCCCATTAGGGGCCAAGTGAGCTGCACGTGGGTGAGGACCCTGCGTGTGTGGCTGGTCGTGTCGCTTGGGGGGGTGGGGTGGCCGGCTACAGTCCCCGCCACCACCTGACCAGCTCCAGCGAGCTGTGTGCAGCACCACGGTCCACCCTGGCCAACGGGTGTGGCTGCGGGAACCTTTCCCTCTTCCCCACTCCAGCCACCTCACCCCTCCCGCCCTGTGGCCAGACAATGGGATACCTCTTCCCTCTCCCCGCAGGGTGTGCCCTCCTGGCCTCTCCCCACCCCTCCACAAGGCCCATGGCCAGTCCTGGGCATCCTTTGGGACTCACCCTGGGGACTCCGTGCTCGCTTTGGGTGTGAGTACCCAAGTACCGAGTACTCGAGCAGGCCGAGCACCTGTTGTCCAGACCCAGGGACCAGAGAAAGCGAGGCCGTATTGTCCGCCCGCACCACTGGGGGAGAAAGAAGGGGGTGGTGAGAGCGAGGGATGCCCAGGCTTCCCGCCCCCTCCGCTGCCGAGCCAACCCGTGTTCACTGTGACCCACGGCGCGCGCGGGGAACCGGAGAGATGCGCACCTTTTGCCAGTTTCCGCTCCCCGGCTTCCGGCCCGGGTGGTCCTGACCAGCAGGGCCGCGCCACCGGGGTTCCCCAGGAGGGGCAGCGAGTCCCGTCCCCCCCTTTCCCCCTCCTCCCCTCCCGGCCTGCCAGGTCACGTGGCCCGTGGCGCCCCCATGGGCCAACCACGTGATGGCGGCGCGCCGTTGCCTTGACAGCCGCTGCGGTGGCCCGCGGGGGCGGGGCAGCCGGCGGGGGCGGGGCGGGGCCGGGAGGGGGGACCCGGCGGGACGCGCGGAAGGAGGGAGGGGGCCGTGCTCAGCGCCCCGGCCGGGCCACGGGGCCACAGGGCAACGCGGCCACGCCGCCCGCCGCAAGCCCGAGCCGGAGTGGAGCCGGGCGGGCAGGCAGAACAGCTCGGTGAGTGCTCGCCGTGGGAGGTTGGTGGGGTGGGGGGGGTACCCCGCCCTGCTGGGGGACGGAACGGAATTGCACCGGGAGACTCGATCGCGGGGAGGGGATGGGCTTTCTCCTGGGCAGGCTCGGGATGGGGTGGCTGCGGGGGGGTTGGAGGGTGGCCAGGTGGCCCCGACCCCGTGGGATCCTCGCGGGGTGCGGCGCTGAGAAGGCTCAGAGGTCGGGGACAGGGGCGGAGTGTGTGTCTTGCGGCTACTGAGGCTTCCCTAGGGGAAGGGACTCAGATGCAGGTGGACGCCTCTGGGAGACCCCTGTGGGGACTGTGCGCCCCCCCCCCCCCCGTGGGTGTGACAAAGACCGAGTCAGAAACAGACTCGCCATTGCTCATGCCCCAGATGTTTAAAGGAAGTTAAGACAGGCAAACCCCAAACCTAGCCCCTGGAAAAGATTCAGACAGGCCTGCCAAGGAGAATAGCTCATCTTTAGAGAGTCACCGTTATTCTATGAGAGCTTTTTTCTCTAATCCGTATATATAAAAAAACAAAAATTCTCTGCAAAGTTCAGCCAGAAGAGCACCTTATGGAGCCTCTGCCACCTGACAGAAATATCCGGTTCCATCTTGCCCCACCCCACCCCATACCCCATCCGGGAGAGTGAGGACCAGACTCTATCTCTCCCAGGGGTAGGGAGAGGAGGCCTGGCGCAAGGTAGGACACTGGTGCTGGGACGGTTTGGATGGATGTGAATCCGGTCCGGGCTGCTCCCTCAGCAGGAAGTGGCCTTTCTATCTCCGGGACCCGCAGGCCTGCCTGGAGACCCAGACTCCAAGCAGACACACAGCCCGCCCTTCCTTCCACTCCCTGCCACTCTGAGGACCTGTGTGGGGCTGCGACTGGCTGGCCACTACCCAGAGGCCACCGTCGGCCCTCACTGCCCCCAAAGCCCTCTGCCTCCACTGTCCATCCTGAGCCCAGCCCATGCCCACTGATGGTCCCTGGGCTTCCCGCTTCCTCACCCCACACATGCCTTTCCCCCTTTGGGGGCTCCCCGGTCCTTCCATCCCGCCAACCGTCTCTGTGGGCATCCAGACCAGATTGACCGCACGCTGCTCCCCTTACTGGTTCCTACAGAGTGCCTCAGCCCGGCGCCTCTGAGAGGCCCACTCAGTCCTGCTGCCTGGGCTGCCCCCGGCTCCACACACCGCCCGCATCCAGCCTTCCCCCTGCATTTCCTGGACCCCTTCTGCAGCCAGCTGGCCTTCCTGCCACGGCCCCTTGCCTCTCAGAACCCTCCCATGCAGGCAGCGTCTCATCTTTGAGGGAGGGTCCCTGTTTGCCAGGGTTGCCTTTACTATGTCTGTTCTTGCTCCCCAGCAGGGACCGTCTCGCTGAGGCCGAGGCAGCCAGCCCCTCCTCTGCTCCTTGACCCTCACCCCTTCGCCACTAAAGCAACCTTTAGCTCCCTGGGTGATAATCATCCGCTGAGACTGCTCCCCCACTGGGTGATAATCACCCCCCGAAGCTGCTCCCCCACTGGGAGCGGCAGAGCAGACCCTCACCACTTCCATCTCTGAGGCCTGAGTACCAAATGCAGCCTGACCTCAGAGCCCAGTAAGCATCTACTGGACGGAGTGCAGAGGACGGATCCTCTGAGGGGGCGAAGCCTGTGACTTTCACCCGTCCGCTCACTTCTGTGATGTGTGGGAGAAGAAAAAAGTAAAGGAGGAAGGCACCCCAAAAGAGAGAGCTCTCCCCCACCTCCCAGACCTTCCCACAGAACCCTTTTAGAGATTGACATGGATAGATCCAAATTGGCCCCTTCCCACAGCCACTGACCTTGGTAAACAGCCCGTACTCTCCGTCCCCCCAACCCCAGCCATGCTCCCTGGCTGGGACCTGGAAACACTGATCTGTTCAGCGTAGCTTTAAGTAGGCTTTCGGTGGGGCCTGTGGGGCCCTGAACATACAAGTAATATCTTATATTAATGCCAGGCAAGCTGCGAGGTGCCTGTGCCCTTGAAGTCTGCCCTAAAGATTAATTAGAGTCGAGCCCGGTGTGCTGCTGCGTGGGCCGGCCCCTTGGGCCGTAGGAGACGGTCAATCCCCTATTTGGATTACTGGAGATTTGGGTTTAAATTCACAAATCTTAACAGATTGGTCCTTCCGTTCTTCGTGCCATGTTATTGTCAAACCAGATACCTACCTGGGATGACTGCAATGGCGTCAGCCTCCGCTGCTTTGTGGAACCTGCTCCTGTGGGTGGGTTCAGTTTTCCCTTTTGCTCACAGTTTCCATCAGAGCCTGGATGCGGCTTTCCTTTAGTCCCAGAACCCCAAGTATTTCTGGGGGTGAACTGCGCCAATCAAAATTCAAGTTGGATTTGAGAAATGAGCCCCGGCGTGGAAATGTGTTTTTCATGGTTGGCGCCTGGGCGTTGAAAAGCGGTTTTGAGACTTCGGGTCCGTTATTTTGTTTCTGAGCCCTGTAGGGGTAGAGATGTCCCCACTGGAAGATGCTTGGGGTCAGAACGTTCAGATGTCATGTCCAGGATCACACTGTGGGAGCCAATCCCGGCCTAGTGACCGGGTCCTAGGATCAGTATACAGGCCATAGCTCCCTATTCCCTGAAGAGAGGAACAATTTGGAGGATTCCTTCTGTGCTTGTTCAACCACAAGCCACACTTGCTTGGAGCATTTCTGACGTAGGGGTGGAAGCCTGGGTCATTAACTTTGTGGAGGCACGATGGATGCGATGTGGGTGGCTCAGGGCGAGGGGTGTCCTGGAAATGCACTCCTGACCCTCCTCCCCAGCAGATGGGCCCCACACGCAACACTGCCCCTGGTGTAGGGTGTATACAACAGGTCCCAGAGAAGGTTAACTTGCCCAGCTTGCCCTGGCTTTTCCAGGTCTCAGGGACCCTCTGGGATGCCTGAGAGTGTCTCTCTCCTGCCCCCAGCCTGGCTCCCACCATGAGCGCCGAGCTCAACGTGCCTGTGGACCCCTCCACTCCCGCCTGCTCTGAACCCGGCCACAAGGGCATGGATTACCGAGACTGGGTCCGCCGCAGCTACCTGGAGCTGGTCACGTCCAACCACCACTCCGTGCAGGCCCTGTCCTGGAGAAAGCTGTACCTGAGCAGAGCCAAGCTGAAGGCCTCCAGCCGGACCTCTGCCCTCCTCTCAGGCTTTGCCATGGTGAGTGCAGACCCGTGGCGGGACCCGCGGCCTGCAGGGTGGGCTTCTGCTGTCGGAATCCTGCAGCGCTCCAGGGAGCAAATGCTCTCTCTGGGCCCTACTGGCTGTTAGGACAGACCCTTAGGAAGTCTCCCCAAGGAGTCCCCAAAAAGCCCCCTTCTTTTTTTTTTTTTAAAGATTTTATTTATTTATTTGACAGATCACAAGTAGGCAGAGAGGCAGGCAGAGAGAGAGAGAGGAGGAAGCAGGCTCCCCGCTGAGCAGAGAGCCTGATGCGGTACTCGATCCCAGGACCCTGGGATCATGACGCAAACAGATCGCCTCCCCCGCCGTCCCACATGTGGCCTCCTGGTGATGAAGCGGAGTCCCTGGCCTGCCTCCAGGCTGTCAGGCTGCAGCTTTCCTTCTGAGTCATTCCCTAGGACAAGAGTCGGTCTTGGGCAGACCGCGTGCCCTAAGCCAGGGTTCAGAGTATGAACATGGGAGTGATCGCCCCTCTTTCTCTGTTGTATGCTTAGAGGTCCTATCTGATGGGAATAATGTTTTTCTTCATTTAAAAATTTTTTTAAAAAAGATTTTATTTATTTGAGAGAGAGAGTGCACGCACAAGCAGGGGGAGATTGAGAGGGAGTGAGAGAAGCAGGCTCCCCACTGAGCAGGGACCCCCCCCCCCAACACACACACACACAGGGCTTGATCCTAGGACCTCAGGATCATGACCTGAGCCGAAGGCAGTTGCTTAACTGATTGAGCCACCAGGTGCCCCAATTTTTTTCTTTAATGTAAAAAACAGTTGTTATTTTTCCAAAGCCCAGAGCGTTTGTTGTCAGGTCGGTAGTACAGAAAATAAGCCATCAGAATGAACCACTGTGGCCGGTCCTGTGGCAGGGGCCTGCTCTCTCGCTGGTACAGGCCACCCTGGGAAAACCGAGAACCTGTGTGGTCAGAGGAGGCCACCAAGCTTAGAGGCTAGAAGTATGGGTTTAGATCTGTAGTTTAAAGCGAAGGCTTCATTTCGGTGTTGCATGGTATTGATTTACTTATTCTAACCTAACTTCAGAAGGGTACACTCGCACAGGGCGCAACCTTGGTTTAGAGTGATTTTCTTCCCGTGGTTTCCATAACGAGCAAAAGACAGAATGCTATCTCAAGCTTCCTTTGAAGGGACACGTGTGAGAAGTATAAACAACACTATGAAAATGAGAGCTTGTTTTCTCCACCACGGAATTATAGGATTGCATTACCTTTGTCTGGCCCACTCTTAGGATTATTTTTGGGACTGTGGAAAACAAACCGTGGGGAGTATCATGTACGTCGGGTTTCCTTTGTGTGGGGAACCCGGGTCTCAGAAGTCCTTTCCTGTCTTCAATGTCTTCTTAAACCCTGGCCTTCCAGACACTTGGATCTGCAGACTTAGAGAAGCTCCACGGTTTTCCCAGCCCACAAAAGGGCTCACCCACACTGAAGCCTCCAAAACTACTCATTTAAAATTGGAAAATGGGGTGGGGAGGCACGTGAGTGGCTCAGTCGGTTAAGTATCTGCCTTCGGCTCGGGTCATGATCCCAGAGTCTGGGGATCGAGCCCCGCATCGGGCTCCCTGCTCAACGGGGAGCCTGCTTCTCCCTCTGACCCTTCCCCACTCTCAGGTGTGAGCTTTCCCTCTCTCTCTCAAAATAAATAATAAAGTCTTAAATAAATAAATAAAATGAGATCAGGAAATGGGCCCTGTTCCTCAGGTTATAAAACAAAGAGTGGATTCTGGAGGACTAGTATGAGACTGAGTGGCAGCCAGCAGGGTATGAAATGGTCTTAGAATGAAAATAGTGACCACAGAGAAACAGGCATGGGAGGGCCCGGATGTACCCCACAGGGTGCTATCCATCCCTAGCTTGGCGATGGCAGTCACCCTTGCCAGTACTAATTCCTTTCTTCAGCATTTACAGAGTGTCTCCTCTCCCTGCACGTGCTCCCTTAACGCAGTCTGGGATACATTTCAGGAGCTGTACCGTGCCCTCACCCTCCCTTCTAGAATGCTCCTCTCAGGGAGGCTGCCACAGCCTAATACACACCAGAGAGTGAGCCGTAATGGGGAAGTGGAAAGCAGTAGAAACAGGGGGGTGCAAAGACCAGCGGTAGGGACAGCAGCAGCCGACCCAATGGACTAGCGTAGACCAGCTCAGGATTCGGAGGGTGGGTGAGTGCGGGAGAAAGCAGACACACACAGATGGGCAGAGAGCATGTCAGCCGCAGACACCGTGGCCCATGGGGGGCAGGGACGAGCACAAGTGGAGAGGCAGTTTGCTAGGTGGTCTCTCCCTTTGTGTTCTGTATCCCCTAATTAGAAGTGCAAAGCTGTTCTAACAGCAAAGCACTTCTGCCCGCGGTGAGCCTGTTTCTTCATGTTTATCCTTCTGCAAACACACAGAACCAGTGATCCGAGGCCCCCTCATAAAATCTTTGCATAAACACATTGAAAAATGGCCTTTGGGCCCTTTCTCTCCTGAAGGCTGAACAAAACTGGTTTCTTACTGTAGGCCTTTTACTTATCATTGTTTCTTACCTCGGCGCCCTCTGTGGTTTACAACCTCCTCTTGTTGAGCATGTCCTTTGTGGTAGCAAGAGCCTGCCCAGGCCACAGGGGGCACTGAGAAAAGACCGTCCCTCAACTCGTGTGGTGTGACAACTGTCTGTATGGAGCAGTGACCACTTCTGAGTTTCTGTTCAGCTGTGGTCCACTAGGACTGCCGTATCTTCTTTTTACCTACCAAATGTTCCATCTCTGCTGAGACGATGAGTCACTCACTCTAGGAGGCGGTAGTTGCTAAAAGTTGTGAAATCTTTCTTGTAAAATTTTTAAAATGGGATGGCTTAGATCTAGGAAGTAAACACAGTGGGTAGAAAAGCCTTCCTCCGGCTTCATTCCGCCTTCCCTCCCCTTTCCTTGACTGGTCTGGTTTCTTACTTCTGGGTACCCAGGAGAAGGCCCTTGGTGAGCCCTAGAGTCCTCGCCAGGCCTGGACTAAACCGTCCCCTGGGGGAAGTCCACAGTGCCGGGCCACAGAGGGAGCCATTCTCCATGGACTGGGTTCCACCCTGGGGGAAGCAAAGCTGGAGCCCGTTTCCTAGTCTGAGGTTTGAATGCCCTTTAGGCCTTGGGCTGAGCAGGTCCTACCCTGCTGGCTATAGGCATCCACTGCCACAGAGGTAGGCTGGGGCTTCTGGTTCCCTCTGAGGATTTTCCTTCCTTCCCTCCTTCCTTCCTTCCTTCCTTCCTTCCTGAGAGTGCGCACATGCGCACATGAGTTGGGGGGGGAAGTGGACGGAGAGGGAGAATCCGCAGCCGACTCCCTTGAGTGCGGAGCCCGGATGTGGGGCTTGACCTCACGACCCTGAGATCACCACCTGAGCTAAAACCAAGAGTCAGACGCTCAGCCAACTGCACCACCCAGGTGCCCCTTTTTCTTTTGTTTAAAACTCGTTTTGGGGCCGCCTGGCTGGCAGTCCGTTGAGCGGGTTACCCTTTATCTCAGGGGCATGAGCTTAAAAATTTTTTTGGTTAAAAAAAGATAACAAAAACAGTTTTTATTGTATCAAAGTTAGTACATGCTGGCAGTTTACAAACGAAGGAGCGCTTGAGGCTCTAAGCTGCCTCCCGTCCCCACCGCAGCAGTGACTGCAGGCCCCTCCTTCCTGAACAGCTTTCTCCAGACTGTTGTTTCTGGATTTACCCATTTCAGGCCTTACCTGTTGGCCTTGTCTCCCTGCGACTGTGGGTGATGACTTAGCTCTTTGCCCAGCCCAGCCCCCTCACCACAGCCCCTGTCACCTCCGCCCTCATTCCTGTCACCATTCCTGGCCTTGGAGATGCGGGCTTCTCCCTAGGACGTCTGGTCTCCACTGCCTGATGCACCCGCTGTCCATGTGAGGCTATCCAGGTTTGTAGCTCTGAGTCTAGGGGCCGCCAGGAGTCCCCGGTACTACCTTTCTCTTGTTATCCTTTGAAAGTGGGTTTTTTTTTTTTTACAGGTATTTTATAGATTTTACTCTTTTATTTGACAGAGAGAGAGCACAAGCAGGGGCAGTGGGAGAGGGAGAAGCAGGCTCCCCGCTGAGCAGGGAGCCCGACACGGGGCTCGATCCCAGGACCCTGAGATCATGACCTGACCCGAAGGCAGACGCTCAACCGACTGAGCCAGGCGTCCCAGTTTTTTATTGTTTGAAAACAGCGTTGTTTGGTGGCTAAGCCAAGCCACGAGTTCCCAAGGAGTGTGGCCTCTGTCCTGGCTCAAAGCCCGGTACCCAGAGAACCCCTGTGTTCGGTGCCAGGAAGGCCCCCGGGGGGGTGAGCCCCGCCGTTCCCCACCCTGTGCCTTCGAGCTCCTTCCTCGGTGGGAGGTCCTTTAGCGCCTGAGAAAACAGAAGCTGAAGCGTGCGAGGTGGGTGCCCCCTGCCCTTCGAGGCCCCGGCCCAGCGCCCCCCTCCCCCCCGCCCCGCTCTGCCTCGCAGGTGGCCATGGTGGAGGTGCAGCTGGAGACGCAGTACCAGTACCCGCGGCCGCTGCTCATCGCCTTCAGCGCCTGCACCACGGTGCTGGTGGCCGTGCACCTGTTTGCCCTGCTCATCAGCACGTGCATCCTGCCCAACGTGGAGGCCGTGAGCAACATCCACAACCTGAACTCCATCAGCGAGTCCCCGCACGAGCGCATGCACCCCTACATCGAGCTGGCCTGGGGCTTCTCCACCGTGCTGGGCATCCTGCTCTTCCTGGCCGAGGTCGTGCTGCTCTGCTGGATCAAGTTCCTGCCCGTGGACGCGCGCCGCCAGCCCGGCCCCCCGCCCGGCCCCGGCGGCCACACGGGCTGGCAGGCCGCCCTCGTGTCCACCATCATCATGGTGCCCGTGGGCCTCATCTTCGTGGTCTTCACCCTCCACTTCTACCGCTCCCTGGTGCGCCACAAAACCGAGCGGCACAACCGCGAGATCGAGGAGCTGCACAAGCTCAAGGTGCGGCTGGACGGGCACGAGCGCAGCCTGCAGGCGGTGTGAGCGCGCCGCGCCCCTGCCCTACCCCCGGCCCGGCCCGGCGCGGGCGTGGAGCTGCCGGCCAGGCCACCCCGGTCCAGACCAAAGTCTTACCCCCGTCCTCGCAGCGGAAAGCCTGGCGGTCTGGGCCTCCCGCAGAAAATGGCGATCTGTAGAAAAGACAGACTCTGTTGCTAAGAGCTGAGAGCAAAACCGCCGGAGTCCTGGGGCCTGGGGATTCCCTGCGTCACGGGCAGGCTCGGGGGAGCGCTGAGGCTTTCAGAGAAGGGACCGCGCCGTGCCACCTGGGGTGTGGGTCTCACTGTGCCACCCTGCTGCAAGGAGATGGGGTGCAGGCCCGCAGCCTGGCCTGGTGCTTCCCTCCCCTGTCCTGGGGGGATGAGGTGGCCGGGCTGACGGGGGAGGGCAGGAGCTGGGGTCCCAGGTCGGCTCAGCGGGCGCAGTAGGCGCTCAGCCAGGCATCGGACTGGTGTCACCCCCAGGGAAGACTTCCAAGGACAGAGGCCTGGCCGGGCCGGGAGGTGCGTCTTTGGGCATCCCATGGGAGATGCCCACCTACAGAGACCTTTAACTGGGTGCTCTGGGGCACACTGGGCTCAAGTTCTCTCTGCCTAGCCAGCCTGGAGCCCTGGGCGTATTAACCCAGCAAAGTCGCCAGGCTGGGGAAAGGGCTCACAGTCCAGAGGCCTCCATCTACAAACGAGCTTCTGAACCCATGTCAGCAGCCCCTCCAGGCTACAGCTGCCAAAGGCCCTTGCCCAGAGAGCGGAGCATGCGTCCTAGCTCCCCGCTGCCTGTGACCCCAGGAGGAGGGAGGCTGTGGCCTGGAGGACTTCCTCTCTAGACACGGTCTGTTGGCCTGATCTGGCCACAGTAGGGGCCCGGCTCACCCATTTCCACGGCCGCGCACGTACATACTACGGCTCAGCTTAGAGGTGAGCAGGGTGCACCCTGAGCTGCTTTCCAAACCCACGCTTACCACCTCAGCCAGCAGCAGCCCGGACAGGGAGCCTGCCTTGTTTCCCATCATCGTGGGACGTCATGCTCTGAGGGCGTCTCTGTGGGGTCTGGGTGGCCCGTGCCGAGAAATCCCGGCTGGCCTGGCTGTGGCTGCAGGGAACGTGACGTACCATTGAGGACATAAACCTTAACACATAACCAAGATGCCACGGGGCTGTCTGGGAGCCGTGCCGGGAGTCGTCGTGCTAAGTCGGGAGGGTATATGGAGCCTGGACGTCGGTTCAGGCGGTTCCATGGAGCCAGACGAGAGCCGGGCGTCGTCCACGGGCGCGGCCCTGCTGTTCTGCAGACCTCTGCCCGCGCTTGCTTGCTGTCTAGTGCGCGTCTGTTCTGTCCCACAGCCTTGTTGAAGAGGCTTGTCTGGCTTCGTGTGTATTTGCTGTGTCAGCGTCGCTGTAAGACAGCTGCTCGGTGTCCTGGCAGGGACGGCGCAGGCGGCCCCTCCCCGCAGCTGGGAGTGGGCAGCAGCCCCATCCTCTAGCCTGAGCCTTCGGAGAGGGGCCGTGCTGGCCTCACTTCCCTGGGCCATCGGGTGCCCCTGCCCCAGGTGCGCCAGACGTGCCAGGCTTGCCAGACTGGAAAGCACCCCCAGAGCCAGCTGGGAGGCCGGTGGTTAATGCCTGTCCTCGCCACCTCGGGCGGGACACTGGGTGAGCCAGGACGATGCCACATGGGTAGCAAAGATGCCGCATCCTGTGTTCTTAACGCTGATTAGAACGTCGCTCTGGTTCCGTCATCTGGAGAGTTCTCCCAGCTCCCCGAGGCGGAGTTTCTGCGGCACAGAGAGGACCGTGGGTCTGGGGACTGGCGATCGGTGTGGAGTCCCAGGGTAGCCCCAGAGCTTTGGGAGAGATGGAGGGTCAGCTGCCGTTTGGAGCTGCAGACGCAACTCAGCAGGCGGGCCGGGGGACGGCGGAGGACACCGACGAGCTGGAACGGCGGTTTCTGGAGGTTGAACCCAGTCGGGAAGCCTTCCAGGCGCCTCAGCCGCTGGGCGTGAGGTGCCCCGGAGCCAGCGAGGGCCTGGCCTAGTTTCCTCCGCCAGCGGAGCCTTCCCGGTGCTCCGGAGCCGAGCGCCCGCGGGTGCGCTGAGGCCCTTCCCAAAGTGGAGCATGGTCTCCATTTAGTACCTGGCCAGAAGTTTCTAAACTCAAGTGTTTCTATTTTAGAAACTGCGAGGGCAGAGTGGATTCTAGCGTCTTCTAGGAAAGTCTGGTGGGGCTCAAACCGCGTTCAGTCTGAGTGCTTCAGGGCTCAGCGGTCGCGGTTACCTGTCTCGCGCCGATTGATTTATTATGCACGACGCTGGGCCTCACGTCCGGTGAACATGACCCCTGGCCTGTGCGTGGGTTTTCCAGCAGTTGCCCGGGATTGAGCTGAATAAACAAGTCCATCTGTGACGCATCCTCTCTCTTCTTGGCAGAGCGCCGTGGCGGAGGTGACAGGCGGGAGCCCCTGGCGCTCCCCCACTACCCCCTCCCCCTGCAGTGTCTGGTGCCTCCCAGAGGGCAGACCCCTCCTCCTGAAGCCCCTCCTGCCTCTTCCGAATTGCTGGTCACCGGCCTCGCCTCTTAACAGGTTTCCCAGGCGAGGGTAGTGACCCCTCTGGAACGGGGAGGCGGGGTGCTCAGGCCCAGACATGCTGGGAGGGTCCCTCCAGGTGCGGCCCCGGGAGAACTGGGCGTCTCTGCCCGCTGCCTCCCTTCTCTTACCCAGCGGGCTCCCGCTTTTCTGGAAACACAGCAAGGGACAGCCCTGCGGGTGGCTGAGCACCAGCAGAGCCCATCTGAACAGGGCCTGCTTGACGGTCCTCATCCACACCCTCCAGGTCAGGAGCCACTGGGGCTCTGGTCCTTCGATGGCGTCTTCTCTGTCCCAGGTACCTGCGGCTCTGGCGTCAGGACAGGGACTCTCTCCCGCAGCCTAGTGACGCTTTCGAGAAGCTCCCAGACATTTCGGTTTTGTAACTGTTACCCGCTGAGGCCCCCGTCTAGGAAAGGACGTCTGTCTTTTATTATTTTTAACTTACAGGCGCTTCAACCCTGAGGCTCCTAGGAGTCAGGTGTGCAAACACGGACAGGTTCTGCCAGTCCAGCCAGGGGGTGGCCCCCCCGCCGCTGCCACCCAGGAGGAGGACTGCCCAGGCTCCTGGGTCTAAAGGAGGGCTGAGCTCCGCAGAAGCCCAGGTCCAGCAAGCCCCCTGCACCGACCATCTCCCTGGTGAGCGCAGCCAACCACAGAAGGCTGTCTCGACTCACATGCCTCCAGAAGGTGGTGAGGTAGGGTCCTCGGAGCCTGGGGCAAAGGGCACAGGATGAGCCGAGATTCCTCACTGGGCCCATTTAGAACCTGCGGACCCCTCTTCCCAGCCCCTGATGACTGCAGCACCCCCACAGTTACTGGGGACACAGTACAGACAGGTTCTACTTGAGTCTCAACAGGAGTAACCCAGAGGACGCTTCCCGGACCGAGCTCCCCGCCCATCCGCCCGCCCGCCGGGACCAGCCGCAGCTCCAATAAATGGCCCTGAGTTTCCTTAACATCTTTCAAAGTAGGACAGGCTGTCAGCTGTGTGCTCCGTCTGACTGCGGAAGACGATGGGGCAGGAAGCCAGCCTCAGACTAGACGCTTCTGTGTCTGTAGGTTCCCGTAAGGCCCATCACTCCTCGCAGCCTGAGGCCACCAGACCACCGGGGCAGAACCGTCCGCACAGCGTGTCTGGTGTGGACGCAGAGCGTGGGAACGCAGTGACGGCCACTCAAATACAGGGCCAAGCAGCCACTACACCCCTTAGCCTGCGGCTGAGCCACCCCAGCCCGGCCTTCCCAGCCCCGTCCCGGTGGGCGGCGTGAGCGGCGGATGCCGAAGTGGGCACGCTGAACCTGCTGTCTTCGTGTTGTAGCTTCAAGGACAAACCCAACCTAGAGTCACCAACTTGACCATGACACGATGCAGCATGTCCTGAGGTGGCTCCGGGGACCGTATGGACCGTGGCATGGGGTGTGTGCTGAGGGGCGCTCTGCGGGACTGCAGGAAGGGCCCACTGTCAAATGTCTGGCCAGCACTGGGTGATTCTGGGGGCAACAGGCTTCTTTGCTGAGTGGCTCTCCCGGCCTTCACGGGCCTCCCCGCCGCACAGGCCTGGGGGTGCGTTTCCCACACAGGAGCATCGTGCAGGCTCCACACACGGGTGCTCCAAGGCCTGGCCTGTCAGGGCGGAGGCGCCTCCCCCAGGCCCCCGTGGAGCAGACCCCCAGGCCTGCAAGCCCACCGAGCTGTTCACATGCAACAGGACTGGCCAGGCCTGCATCTGAAGCGCAGCGAGGGACCCAGAGCAGTGTCTGTGCGGGTCACAACTCTGGGAAGGAGCCGTCCTCCGCCCTCCTGCTCCAAGCCAGCTGAGCCCAGGCACCACCCACTCTGCAGCTGGGCTCAGTTCAGCCACTAGAAACCCAGCGGCCTTTCCTGGGTCTCCAGAGCGATGCCACTGCACAGTGCGTGGTGGCCAGTGACTGCCCTCCCACTGCCAACAGCTCACAGAAGGTTCTAGAATGACTGAAGACCAGCGCGGACCACGAACCTTTCTGGGCTCTGATAGGGCCCTGGTCCCAAAGTCTGGCACTGAGCCTATGGCTGGCGAGCGTATCTGGTCTTAGGAGCAGCAGAAGAGGGCAGGCCACCATCCATGTGAGTACCTGCATGGCACCAGTGTCCCCCTACTTTTTCACAGCATGAGGCAGGGGAGGAAGGTGGGACCAGACTCTCCAGAGATTTCTCTGTCCTCATGGCCCCCAACACCTCTGGGGGGTCAAGTGTGACAGAGCCTGACGCAGAGGCGGTCACCAGCTCTGAAGGCTGAAATAGTAACTTTAGGTCTGTCAATTCTGCTCTCCGACTCGCTCCCCAAATGAAAGGACCGGAGAATGGGGTTATCAGGGAACTTCATTGAGAGAGGGATAAAGGAGAAAACGTTTTTAGGTGGTACCAACGTGTTTAAGCTCAAATGACCCCACTGCCCTCCAACTGTGACAAGCCAGCCACACAGGCGGCCATGGGATAGGTCAGACAGGACTGACCCAAGGCCCGGTTCCATCCCATCCGGCTCCCAGGCAGGGCGCACACCGTCGTCGTGTCAGGATGCTGAGCAGTCTTCTCTTAAAAGCTACTAAGCTGGGGAGAAAGCCCCCCGTGCCGGGCTTCCCGGCCTCAAATCCTGGCAGACAGTCAAGCCCGGAGCCGGCACCCTGGCCAGGCCCGGCCCCAGCTCCTGTCCCCAGGGAGGTGGCTCACATAGGTCTCCCTTGAAAGGAGAGCGAGATCTGCAGGAGTTCCTGCCCCAGTTCTTGCTGCCGCCCGCCAGGACGGAACTCGGCCGACAGCTCCCTGAAGGTGGCGCAGACGCGGCGGGCCTCGATGTGTCTGCGGTGGATGGCGTGCTTCCACTGGTGCCGCGCGGCGCCCGTGAGCACGAGCAGGGAGCGGCGGGGTAAGGGGACGGCCACCTCCACCTCCTGGCACAGGACGGACCTGCTGGGGGCCATCACCCCTTCCACCAAGGCCTCCGGGAAGCCAGAAGGGGCCAGACAGAGCAGCAGGCTGCCGGGCGCCTCCCGGGACATGGACAGCACAGTCGAGGACAGGAGGTTGAGGCTCACCAGCCGCTCCCCCCACAGCCAGGCGTCATCCAGGTGGGGGTCGATGGCCGAGCCCCGCTCGGGGCAGTAGTCCAGGTTACACTGCTCCACGGGCTGGAAGTCCTCCAGGATGGGGTACAGGCCCATCCTCCGCACCACGTCCCGGCTGAAGCTGGGGAGGCCTCTGAAGCCGGCGGTCTTGAGCTTCTGTTTCCGGAAGTTGACTTTGGGGCCATAGTCCTGAAGGGTGAGGACAGAGAGGGAGTGGAGACGTGTCTGAGTTTACGGGAACGGCTATCACGGGCCAGAGCTGAAGGATCTGACTGCAGAGACCAACAGAAGCAAAAAGCCTGGCTCTGGACCGGGATGTGCTCCCAGCGGGAGGTGGCCGGCCCCAGCGGTCAACGCTATGGAAGGAAGGAAGGAGGGAAGGCACTATGATGTGCCGGGGCAGGGGGCTGTCTCAGCCCGCGTGCAGGCAGAGAGGGAGGGAGACAGAGGACCTGCGTGCGAGCAGGCAGTGCGTTCAGGGCCGTGAGGCCAAAGTCGGGATGCGAGACGAAGGAGCCGCGAGGGAGGGAGGGTCAGCCCCAGGCAGCCTCATCACGTGGTCAGAGCTGGGGATCCCGGGGGTTCAGAACCGAGATAGAGAAGTTCTGCTCCCGGCTACACGCCCGGGACTGGAAACACGGCCATGCAGACACTTGCCGATGGGTGTTCACGGCGACACCGGGGCCCAACAGCCGAAGGGCGGGCACAGGCCGGTGTCCGTGATGAGACAAATGGATGAAGGGGTGGGGGCAGGTCCGCACAAGAGGGCCATCTGGCCACAAACGTCATGCGGCACCGTCGGGGGGAGAAGCCGACACGGAGCACCACGTGTTCTATGATCCCATTTACGTGAGCTGTCCGGCACAGGCAAAGCCAGACAGAAAGATTAATGGTTGGCAGGGGACGGGGAACAGGGAGCGACTGCTCCTGGGTACAGATGTCCTTTGCGGGTGACAGGCAGGCAGTGGAGAAGGTTGCACATTCTGAATAGAGCAAACTGTACACGTTATAAAGCGAATTTATGGTCTGTGGGTTCTAGCTTAAAAAAAAGCAATTGTTAGGGAGGAGGCTTCCAGAACACCCCTCAGACTGTGTCCCAAGGGATTGAGCATTTATCCACCGACTCCTCCCCTCGGGCCACCCCACCCCGTGGCGAGTGGCGGTCTCCGGTGCAAATGTCTTTCTCCTTCCAGCTTCAGTGTGTCAGCGCGGCTGGGTGCCCCCAGCAGCGGCAGGCGGAGGAGGAGCTCGGGGTGCAGCGCACGGAGAGGTGTGACCTGCAGCATCTCCGGAGCACAGAGGCGGCTTACAGGGACCCCACAGAGCAGCGGGGGGAGCGGAGGTTGGGATGGGAGGCCTGGTGGGTTTGTAGCGGAGCAGTGGGTCCATCTGAGGAGCGGGGCCGGGGCCCGGGAAGCTCCAGAAGGAGTCCCAGCGGCAGAACTGGGTGGGGGCTGTGGGGACAGTGGGGATGCAGAGTGCTGTGTTCTCAGATTCCGGGTAGGTTTTGAAGGAAGCAAGTGGACAGGGATGACCAGGGCGAGGGAGAGAAATCTGGAGAGCTGCACAGTTTCCGGCTTGAGCAGATGGAAGAGGGAATTTGCCACACTGGGGACACTGCAGGGGCACCGGGATGGGCCAAGACTCAGCGAGGGTCTGACGAACACAGGAAGCTGGCTGGAGACACGAACGTGGGAGTCGCAAACACACGCACGGTGTCAGAGTCGTGACTCACGGAGACCAGCCAGGGAGCTCGGGCAACGGAGAGGCCCCAGGGCTGGGCCTGACAACTGGCCACTGGGTGGGGGCACGGAGGCCAGGACCCAGGGCGGAGGCGGCAAGGGCATGAAGTGGGAGCAGGAGACACAGTAAAGACAGACGACACTGCGGAGAAGTTGGCTGCACAAGTGGGAGGAGGAGCTTACAGGTGGTCTGGGGGAGAAGATCCAGTTGAGGTAAGAATGACGTCAAGGACAGCGGGGAGCAGGGTCGGACAGCACCTCGGAGTTCGAGGGGGGCTTGGAGAGAAGCCTGGCTCGGGGGTTGAGAAGGACACGGCCCGCGCGGCTTTCTCGGGGTGGGGGGTGGAGGGGAAAGGTCCAGAAGGTCCAGTCTCCCCGGGAGAGACTGATGTGACCGCCGGAGCAGGGCGGCGGGGCATGAGGCCAGCAGCCAGAGGAGCCGGACTTGCCCGGGGCTGGAGTTCAGCGGAAGGAGCAGGACAGTGGGGGGGCGACAGGGCACAGGAGCCCCAGGGGAAGTGGACAGGCCTGAAGTCACTAGAAGGGAGGGAGGGAGAGAAGGCGGACAGTACTGCCAGGAAGCGGCCAGGACTTGGGGGTCCGAGTACCTCAAAACTGATGGGGGAAGGACTTGAGCGGGAAGGTGAGCGGCGGCCTCTAAAAACCCTGAGAGCGGAGCATCCGTCTGCCCTACGGCCCTGCCGCTCCGCATCCGGTGCGTCTGGTGGGAAGCGGAGAAGTCCAGGCCTGCCTGTGCCCCTTCCTCCAACACATGCCACACACCGCTCCCCTGGCTGCCCAAGCCCCAGGGTCAGGGGAGCTCACCCCCTAACGGCCTTGGGGTGCTTGGCTGCAGAGAGAGGCGCTGGGAGGGATATGAGCAAAGGGGTGTGGGGCAAGGAGTCCGGAGCGGCCCAGCAGGATGACTCCTCCCTGACCAGCCAGCCCGGTCCTCCCCGCCTCCCCAGGCCTACCTGCTTCCTCCGTCCAGACTGGGAGAGCTTCCAAGGCTCCCGGTCCATCAGCTGCACCATCTCGGCTTCCTCCTCCCGGGTCACAAAATCCTCTATCAGCGTCACACCGGGGAAGGGGAAGGCCCAGCCTTCAAAGTCAGACTCCTCGGCCCCCACGGCCCAGCCAGTGTCAGAGTAGTAAATGAAACGGTGCGTTTTCTGCAAAAGAAAGAGGAGGGACCTGAAGCCCCTGAAGCCACTTTGGAAAGCAGCTGGGGTCCGGAGGGAGGCAGAACCCCTCCCCGCCTGGGGCTGCCTCCTGGGAAGGGCCCTTTGCCCGTCCTTTCTCACTTTCCTCATCTTACAGGGAAGAGCATCCACGTAACTACGCTCCGCTCTCTGTTTTAAAAATGAGGTGACCCAGCCCAGCAAAGTTAAGGAATGAGCCTGAGGCTGCACAGTGGGGAGCTGCCTGGGAGTCCACACTGTGCTAGTGTTGCTGTGGGGTGTCCTCCGGCCTCCCTGGCCATGGGGGGGGGGGACTAAAGGAGAAAAACCCAGGGCTCTCCAGAGGGCGAGCATGCTGGGCAGCCAGAGGGGAGATGCCGTCTCCGCGGTGGGGGTGACTCTGGGCTCCGCCCCCCTCTGCGGCTGCAGAGGCACTGCCTGAACTTTCCTTCAAAAGAGAGAACTTGCCAGCCATCCTTGAGGAGTGCCCAGCGGACAATCTCCTGCCACCTCAAGTTTGGGGCAAAGGCCACCCTGGTCCCAGGCAGCCCCCAGCCAATGACTCAGCACAGGTCTGGCTCTTTCTACCCGACTCGGGACTCCTCTATCTATCAGTCTGCTCAGGAGCTCCCAGCTGGACTGGCCATGACTTTGTCCCAGCTGCATGGCAGTCTGAGGTCCGCCCTGTCCAGTTAATTCTCCTTTACCCCAAACCCTTTACATCTCATGGCCCCTCCTGCCCACCCCAGCTGGGAACCATCGTGTCCTCCGTCTTCTGGCACCTCACACGGAACACATTAAAATCGGGGATCACCCTGTACCTTCTGCTCATCCCACAGCCAGCAAGTCGGGCTACCCCCACACCCGCGGGCACGGGCACAGTTCAGACTCTCAGCACTTCTCAGGCTTTCCTTGTAGCCAAAATATACAGGACATAAAACTGCCATCGTCACCATCTTTAAGTGTACAGGTAAATTAAATTCAGTCGCGTTGTCCTGCACCCATCCCCACCTCTCTCAAACTCTGGACTCGAAAGAATGCTTCGCTCTTTTCTGCAAGCCCCAGGGACCCACCATGCTACCTGCTGACTCTATGAATGTGATTCCTCTACAGGCTTCATGGAAGCGGAATCCTGCAATATTTAATCCTCTCGTGAGGAACCTTTCACTCAGCATAATGACCTCAGAATCCATTCATGTCACAGCAGGTGTCAAACGCCCTTCAAGGCACATGACATTCCAGGGGACACAGGCCACGTTTGTTTACCCGCTCGGCCACTGCTGGACACTTTCACTGCTTCCATGTCGTAGCTACTGGGAACCACGGTGCTAGGAACGGGGGCGTACAGTCTCTCTTCAAGGGTCTTCTTTCAATTCTACCCAGAACTGCTGGATCACACGGTAATTCTACTTTTCGTTTGCTGAGACATCACCAGATCACTTTCCACAGGACCTTCCAAGCTTTTACCGGGGATGCTGTGGGAGTTTCTGCACTGGCTTCCCAGACTCCATACCTTCCCATCTGCCTCCCCACATCCTGGGACCTTTCCAAAACTCACCCCTAACTTCCTTTAAAACCCTGGGCGGCTCCCCGGGGCCCTCAGAACAAGTCCAGCCTACCCAGCCACCACACACAGAGCCCTCTGGGTCAGGGCGGCCAGCCCCTGAAGCGTCAGGCTCCTTCCAAGCCCAGGGACCTGCCCCAGGCCTGTACCCAAGCAGTCCCCCAGCGGGAACGCTCTTGCCGCCCCCGCCCCCCGCCCGACAAAGGCTCTGGATCCTTTTTCCTTAATTGGAATTAATTTCCTCCTTGACCACTTCTGCTCAACGGCGTCTACGGCACTTTGCCCTGCCTGGTTTTCGGCATCCTCTTTCTCTTTCCTGGTCGTCTCCCCACTTCGTGAAGCTCACAGTCCCGGACGCAGGGTAGGGGGCGCGGGGCGGGGGGCGCTACGTGGAGGTTTGCTGTCACACTCTCCCCAGGACTCAAAGGGGAGTTGTGGTCAGATGGCACCCACTCCAAGCCCACCCCTCAAAGCGCTCATCTCATCCTGCAACGCCCCCACAGCGAGGGCCCTTGACAGGGGTTGATCCGGGGCCCGTTTCCGTAGCCAGTCTGGGCCTCAGTTTCCCCGTATGAAGAAGGGAGTTGTGGCACGGCCCCTTCCCCAGCCCTCACCTGCGGGGGGTGTTGCCAGGGCGGGTCACCTCCGCGCTGCCTCTCGCAGATCAGACAGGTCCGGATGCCCTTGCAGCCGCATTCCCGGAGGACTTCTGGGGCAGCCACCGCCGCAGCCGCCATCGTCGCTTCTTGGCGACCAGGGCGCAGGCGCGGAGCCGCGGGGGCCGCTGGGAGTTGTAGTCCGCCCGCGGGACAGGAGGTACGCGGGGCCGCTTCCTTCCGGTCGTCGCGCGGCACCGCCTCCAGAGTTCCGCCGGGGGCGGACGTTAGCGTCTGTCTCCAGGAGGCACGGACTCGGCCGGACGCCGGTACCGCTAACCGGCCAGCGCGGGCCGTGCCTCGTCGCCATGGGCCCTCTGTCGGCGCGGCTGCTCATGCAGCGAGGGCGTCCCAAGAGCGACCGACTGGGGAAGATACGGAGCCTGGAGTAAGAGGCGGGACGGGGGGCGACGGGGGTCCGCGGGGCCGCGGCCACACAGCCCGCCACCCGGGCCTGGGTCGCCGGCCGGTCGGGAAGTAAGGCTGGGACCCTTGCCCACTCCCTGCCCGGCCCCGTTATCGCCCTGTCGGTTAGGCGGAGCCTCCGACACTCTGGCCGAGCGCTGGGCTCCCGTTAAGAGACGGGCGGGCTGGGGCCCCGAGTGGCCTCTCCCTGGAAGGGGTCCCGGCTGTGGGGGAGACAGCCCTGCAGAAAGGGTGTAGAGCAGCCTGGCCTTAGCAGGCGCCCAGGACTGCCCCGGTGTGAGCCCTCCCTGTCTGCCCCCACCCAGCTTGTCGGGGCTGAAGCTGCTCTCAGAGCACTTGGACCCCAAGCTCCTGAGCCGCCTGACGCAGCTTCAAGAGCTTGACCTCTCCAACAACCAGCTGGAGACGCTGCCCGCCAACCTGGGCCTGTCCCACCTGCGCGTCCTCCGCTGCGCCAACAACCAGCTGGGGGACGTCACTGCCTTGTGCCAGTTCCCGCAGCTCGAGGAGCTCAGCCTGGAGGGTAACCCCTTCCTGACTGTAAGTGGGGGCCCCCACCTGCTCCAGACCCAGGGCCAGCACTCCAGCGGGGCTGAGCCACAGCTTGGGGGGACACTGAGCCGCTCTCCCTCATCCCGCAGGTCAGTGACAACCTGAAAGTCTCCTTTCTCCTGCCCAAGCTCCGTAAGGTCAATGGCAAGGATGCTTCGTCTACCTCTTCTCAGGTGGAGAACCTAAACCGGGAGCTGACCAGCCGGGTAAGGGGGCGGACCCATGTCTCTGGAGCAGTCGGGGGGCCTTGAGGAGCGAGCGACAGAATGGACATTCGGAGGACCCTGAGGAGGCGTTCCGGGAACTCTCTGCCCTGACACTGAGCGGCGTCTATCCCTTCGCCTGATGTGTTGCTTTGAGCCTGGCTGTGGTGCTTGGCCTCTTTCAAGGAAGGTCCTGCTCTCTGGGTGTGCAGGCAGGGCCCAGCCAGGGCCCAGAAGCTGTACCGAGCCGCCGCCGCCGCCGCCTCCTGTTCCTGTTCCTCCTCCTCGGGGCTGCTGTGTGTGTGTCTGTGCACGCGCATTCTGTGTGGGTTCGTGCACGCTGCCGCTAAGGCTGTAGTTCAGGGAGACTTCCAGGAGGCGTTGAAGTGGAGACACCTGTGCCCATGAGATTGGAGGCAGGGGTCCAGGAGATCTGGGGTGGACTGGGGTTGAATCTGGTCCCTCTTGTTCCAGGTCACAGCTCACTGGGAGAAGTTCAAGGCTGCACTGAGCCCAGGCGACGAGGCAGAGAAGGCCCAGGCTGACTTTGTGAAGTCTGCTGTCAGGGACATCCGTTACGGGCCTGAGTCCCTCAGCGAGTTCACCCAGTGGCGGGTATGACCTCGCCTGCTGTGCTCAGACTCCGTTCTCCCAGCTCCTCGATTGGCTCCAGCTGCCTTAGAGGCCTCTGGCCGTAAGGGGTGGTAGAGAGTGGGGTGGGTCAGGGAAGGGAGACTTATTGGTTGGAAAGGCCCTTTCCCGGGCTCCTGGGTGGCTCAGTGGGTTAAAGCCTTTTCTCAGGTCATGATCCCAGGGTCCTGGGATCAAGCCCCGAATCGGGCTCTCTGCTCAGCAGGGAGCCTGCTTCTCCCTCTCTCTCTCTCTGCCTGCCTCTCTGCCTACTTGTGACCTCTGTCAAATTAAAAAAAAAAGAAAAAGAAAGGCCCTTTCCCACCTCGGGAAGCAGAAGTTCCCTCTGCCCCAGCATTTGGGAGAGGGGCCCGGGGCCCCTAGGACTGTATCTAGTTCCCCAACGTCCCCACCCCACGTAGGTGCGGATGATCTCTGAGGAGCTGGTGGCCTCTGGTGGGGCCCAGGTGCGTGAGGCAGACATCCCGGAGAGGCCTCCAGAAGCCCCAGCTGCCCAGGAACCCAGGGTAAGTGTGGTACCTTGCAACTCCCAAGGCCTGCCTAGGGAGACTGTAGGGAAAGGGGATGGGGCAGGGGTCCTGGAAATGAGCCCAGGTGACGGTCCCTGATGCCTGAGCTCGTTCACACTAACCCTGGGCCAGCCCTTGCTTTCTGCCCCCGTGAGAGGGTGTAGGCCAGCCTGTGATGCCGAGGAAGGAAGCGCCAGGCAGATGGGCCCGTGGCCCCCAGGCCCTCAGCCCAGCCCCGACCCCCTCCACAGGCCAGGCCCGTGGCCGTGAAACGGCCGGATGAAGTCTCACTCAACCTGTCTCCCAACAAGCGGGTGTGTACCTCCTCTTCGGTCTGCGTGGAGGGCAGCGCCCTGGGCTCTGATGGCAGCCGGGTAAGCCAGCCAGGGGGCAGGGAGCAGCCGGCAGGGAGCACAGGCTGGGGCAGCTGTGACGCCCCCTCTGCCCCCACAGCCTGCGCTGGACCTGGAGCCCCTGCACTTCCTGCAGTGTCACAGCAAGAACAACAGCCCTCGGGACCTGGAGACCCAGCTCTGGGCCTGCGCCTTTGAGCCGGCCTGGGAGGAGGGTACAGCCACGGCGGGCAGGCAGGGCCAGGGCGAGCACCCCAGGGAACCGGCAGGACCAGCTGTCTAGACAGGGGGCCCAGGGACGCTACCTGGAGGGGGCCGCCTCGGTGGATGGGGGTCCTGGGAGAGACAGCCCCTGGAGCATCGTCAGGGCCAGGAAAGACAAGCTGCAGGGGCGGACTGCGCAGACGATGTGTTTACTGAGGCTGACCCCTCAAAACAGGGCACGCGGGGGCCACCTCCCAGACGGTGGCCACGTGCGGCGGCGAGGCCGTGTGTGTGATAGACTGCCAGACGGGTATCGTGCTGCACAAGTACAAGGCCCCTGGCGAGGTGAGGGCCCGGGGCTGCTCCCGTGGGGCAAGGGGGCAGGGAAGGGGCGGCAGATGACTTGGTCCTGCTGGGTCTCGCTTCCACTGGCTGGAGCTCGCTGGCATGCGCAGCTCTGCCCCTTAGTGACCCCACTCTCCCCACCCCCGGCCCCCATCCCCACCCAGGAGTTCTTCTCGGTGGCCTGGACAGCCCTGACCGTGGTGACGCAGGCCGGCCACAAGAAGCGCTGGAGTGTGCTGGCAGCCGCGGGCCTGCGGGGCCTGGTCCGGCTGCTGCACGTGCGGGCTGGTTTCTGCTGTGGGGTCATCCGTGCCCACAAGAAGGCCATCGCCACCCTCTGCTTCAGCCCCACCCACGAGACCCACCTCTTCAGTAAGACCCTCTCCCATGTCCCTGAGGGGGCCCCAGCATCCTGTCCTGCAGTCCGGGATGGGAGGGAGTGCCCTGGCTGGTGGGCGTCACCACGGGCCACCGGGGTCAGCTCCGGCCGGGCCAGAAGCAGTGTGGCTTGGTGGACGACTGACAGGGCTTTAGCTCCTGCCTCCTCTTCCTCTGTGGCCTGGAAGCCGGGTGGCTGGGCCACCTTGTGAGCTGGGTGCTAAGTGTGCTAAGCCCAAGAAGGGATGTGTGGGCCTGGCACGGGCCGTGGTAGCAGAGAGTGAGGTAGAGACTGGTGGCCCTCAAATCTTCCACGTCCCAGCTGTGGCCCTGCACACCTTGGTGGGGGTGGGTGGCCTTGGGACCACGGTCTCATCCTGAGATGGAGCCTGCTGGAGCGAACGGGGTCTCCTCAGAGCCTTCTCTCCCCTTCCCCCCTCAGCGGCCTCCTATGACAAGCGGATCATCCTCTGGGACCTTGGGGTGCCCAACCACGACTACGAATTCCAGGCCAGGTGAGGCTGGGGCTGGGCAGGGGGCTGCCAGGGCGGACAGAAGCCCGGGTCCGAGGCCTCACCATCTCCTCCCCGCTGGCAGCCAGCTGCTCACCCTGGATACTGCGTCCATCCCACTGCGCCTCTGCCCCGTGGCTTCCTGCCCAGATGCCTACCTGCTGGCCGGCTGCGAGGGTGGCTGCTGCTGCTGGGACGTGCGGCTGGACCAGCCCCAGAAGAGGAGGTGAGGCTGACCGGGGAGGCCTTGAATGCCAGCCTCAGAGCTGTCCAGATGCCTGACCCCCAGCACATCTGCCAGGGGTGGGACTTAAGCCCTGCCCCATCCCGAGCAGCCAGCGGCTGCTTTCAGGGGCCTCTTCATGGGGCTGGCCTGTCCCCACCTCCTCTAGTCTCTCAAGGAAAGGTCCGTGCCCCATTCCTCACGGCTGCTTAGCTGTGGGACTGGGCCGGGGCAGCTCTCAGAGCCGTGTTCACTTCACCTTGGAGGGGCGGTCAGGGATGGTGTCCGGACAGGGATGAGGCCCCAGAAAGGCTCCTCTGTACCGCCTGGAAGGCTTGGGCCCGTGCTTAGGCTGGCCCCCTGCCCTCGTGCGGCCCACATCCTTAGAGAAGGTGGCCTGTTAGTGCCCCCAAAGCGTAGCGTCAAGTGTGAAGGAAGGAGAGTAAGGGGACGATGAGGAGGTGAGTGGCGGCGGATGGGCACAAGCCTAGATCCCAACAGGGGAGCCTGCAGGCAGCAGGAGGGAAGGTGCTGGCACAGGGGTGGTCCCACCAGGGAGGTCCGGCCCAGCCTGGGAAGTGGGAGGACGCACCACAAGATAAGGTGGCAACTTGGGCCAGGGGACACGGGCTCCATCTTCTGGGGCAAGACTGAATTTTGTCTCCAGTGCTATGAACAGTCTGGGAAGACCTTCAGGGGCCGGGTGACAGCAGTGAGGCAGCGGTGACGTGGGGGCAGGTAGCAAAAGCGTCAGGCCCAGTGGTGGCCTTTGTCCAGCCAAGTGCCTGTGTGGGCCCCTGCCACAGCTGGGAGTGAAGCCCCAGGGCTTCCCCTGCTCCCTGCTCAGCGTGGTCTATCTGGCCCCAAGCCCAGTGGCGGTCACGCCGCAGAGGTGTCTGCTTCTCCTTGTGTTGACATGTGGCTGCCTTTGCAAGCACCGTGTGACCCCGCGTGCATTTCCGCTGGAGACCGTGCAGCAGCCACTTGTTCCCCGACCCTAAGTCCCTGCCTCTCCAGACCCTGTCCCGTGCCAGCCTGCACCCCAGCCGTGCCGGCTCCCCTTTCCGGGCCCAGAACCCAGCTCCGTGGGTGCGTCTCCTGGCAGAAGGCAGATGGGTGAGGGGGGACCCAGCGTCTCCAGGAGCGGCTTCCTGGGCCGTGGGGTGGCTCACCAGCACCTTCTGTCCCGCAGGGTGTGTGAGGTGGAGTTTGTGTTCTCCGAGGGCTCGGAGGCAGCCGGACGGAGAGTGGACGGGCTGGCGTTTGTGAACGAAGATGTGGTGGGTGAGTAGACCTTGCGCAGGGGACAGCCTGGCCTCCTGGGAGCCGAGACAGGCCCTGGAAGGCCTCTGGGGGCAGCTTCTCCTGGGGCTGGGGGCTCCTGAGGGGTCCCCCCGGGGCACCATGAAGTGTCTAGAGAGGGGCCCCCACCCAGCTCTGTTCTCTCCCCACTCCCCAGCCTCCAAGGGGAACAGCCTGGGCACCATCTGCCTGTGGAGCTGGAGCCAGACGTGGGGGGCGCGCGGCAAGCAGTCCTCGCTGGCGGTGGTGGTGCTGGCGCGGCTGCAGTGGTCCCCCACCAAGCTGGCCTACTTCTCGCTGAGCACCTGCCCTGGTGAGCCCCTGCACTCCCTGCCCCCTCACCCCCTGTGGCTGTGTCCCACCCGGCCCCGCTTCTCACTCTGAGCCTCTGGCAGATGAGGGGATAGTGCTGTGTGGGGACGAGGAGGGCAACGTGTGGCTCTACGATGTCCGGGACCTCCTGAGCCAGCAGGCGCCGCTGCCGGCCGCGCCACAGGCCCCAACACAGGTAGGCGCCCCTGCCCAACCCCCGCCCACTGCGGGGGCTGTGAGCAGGAAGCTGGAGCCCCGCCCCCCTCTTTTGCACCCCCCAGATCCTTAAGTGGCCCCAGCCCTGGGCCCTCGGCCAGATGGTGACCAAGACCATGGTGAACACGGTGGCGGCCAACCGCACCTTTACCTACCTCACGGCTCTAACGGACTCCAACATCGTGGCCATCTGGAAGAGACAGTAGCCAGTGCAGGGCTCCTGCCTCTAGGGAGGTGCGGGAGTTCTGGGGTTCCGACTTAACTTATTCAGCTCTGGGGCAAACGACGAGACTGCTTTTATCGGGGAATATTTTTATTAAATTCTCTGCTGTGTACAAGGCTGGAGAGCTGCTTGGGGCCCGGCTGGTGCGCCGACACGGTGTGAGGCCGGCTGAGCCGGCGAGCAGAGGCTGCCTGGCTGCCCCCCCCACCCCCGGCCTGGCCTGGGTTCCCGAGAGCTGGTCTAGAAGGAGTTCAGTCCCACCAGCTCCTCAGCCAGGAATCCGGGGTGCAGGGCCCGTCCACGATGGGAAACCAGTCCTCGGCCTCCGCGCGCCCCATGCACCTGCTGCCGCCGCAGCCCCCGACCAGGCCTCCTGCTGCTCTTTATCAGGAAAGCGAAACAGACTGTGTGCTGGACACGCCGGCAGGGACGGGCTCACCAGGATGTCCCCAACGCTGGGGAAGCCGCTGTCCTGTACTGGGAGCTGAACAACGTTCCAGCGCAGGGTGGGAGCCGGCCCAGCAACACTCTCCCCGCCGCTACTCGATGCCTTCTTGCTTGTCTTTAATGGCCACCTGAGCGGAGAGGGGCAGCGGCCGCTTAGCTTAAAGGACCACGGTGAGGAGGCAGCCCCGTGGCCCTGCACGCCCCCCACCCCATCTGCGTGAGGCGCAGGGGCCACGGTAGTGGACATGGACAAGCCGGGGTCTCTCCCCTACACCCAGGTCAGACTCTGAGGCCCTCTGCGTGGACGGGTGGGACCACCCCTCTCGGCCTCCTTAACTGTGGGGCCCCACCCTGGGATGAGCTGCCCCCTACACAAACACCCCGGGAGTGGCCAGGCCTTACCAGAGAAGGCTCGGGGGAGCAGTCCCAAAGGGCTGCAGGAGCCCCTGGAGCCAGCCCTCCGGTTCCCACCCGTGCCTGCACCCAACAGGCCCCCAGCCTTACCGCCCTACCCCTAGTCCACGTCCTACGGAACCACCTCCCCCCACGCCCCCTAGAGCGCAGGACACTCTCCACGGGCTGTCCGGGCTGTGGGCACGAGGACACCGCAGCTCCGGGCAGACCCAGCGCCGCTCACCCGGAAGCGCTCCTCCAGCAGGGAGAGCTCGCTGATGAGGTCCGTGATGGCATTGGTGAAGGCCTCCTGCGGGCTGTAGTCCGGGGTGGTCTGCACCCGGATGATGATCTTGTGCTCCAAGGGGTGGGGGACTTTGTAGCCAGCGAATAGCACCTGCGGGTCCTTCAGCAGCTGTCTGGGGGGATGTGACACGGGGCGCTGAGCCGAGCACCCCTGGGGATGACCAAGCTCTAACCAAGGCCTCTTCCCACTGGGTTGAGGCCTGGAAGCCAGTACAGCTGCGGGGGCTGACCCCAGCGGGTTCCCTGCTCTTGATCCCCCGCCCCCGCAAAAATCAACCAAGTGAAACATTCCAAAAAAGACACCCAAAGACACACACACACACATCCCACCACCACCATCACCACCTCATGGGGACGACACACACACACACACACACCCTCCAAGGACCCCAGCTGCTAAGCAGGATCTCCAGCAAACTCTTCCCTCGGGAAGCAGGGGACCCCGCGACAGCCCCAAGGAGCCCGCGTCTAGTAGCCAGACAAAGCCCAGGACGAGCATCTGACAGCTATAAAGGCAACAGGGGGAGAAGGCTCGGGTCCTGAGCAGCTGGTGAATGGAAGTCCTCCGGGCAGCACAGGCTGGCAGCTGCCGCCCGCACCCCTGGGGCCCTGTCTGCAAGGCTGTGCAGCCTGCATCTGCGTCTGCGTGCCGTGCCCGGGGCCCACGGGGTCCTCGAGAGCAGCTCGGTCGGCGGGTCGCACCACGAGGGCGGGCCCTTGCATAGGTGGGGACACGGCTCCCAGAGCAGGGGATCAACAAGGCTCTAGAAGGGCCTGGGGGCACCACTGGCGTGGCTCAAGGCGGGAGTCACCCAGACAGAAGACCGCCAACTCCGCCTCCTGGGCTCCCGCCCGGGACCCCACATGTGCACACCGCGGAAACCCCGGCTTCACCCACGGTGTCTTCAGCAGAGAAACGACAAGACCTTAGACCAGAACAGTGACCACATCGCCAACCTCCGAGCTGGTCAGGACTACACTGGTGTAAACACGCACCCACCAGCCCATACCCGCTGTCCCCCGGGGCACCGGCTAGCCGCAGAGCCTCTCCCACCTTCTCCCCTCCTAATAAGAGCCAATCTCTAGCACATGTGTGTGTGCCAGGTGTCCCAGAGACCATCGTCCCGAAGAGGGGTGGGTGGCAGCAGGCCCGGACTGCCCCTCCCTGCTCTTCAGCACAGAAACACAAGCAGGCCCGCGTCTCTCCGGCTTGCCCCAGATAAATGAGACACACGGCGGTGCGATCGGATCTAGGTCAGCGTCATCTTGGAGAGAATGAACTGGAATGTGGGAACTGCCAAAGCAAACCCCCAGACCTTCCTGCAGCTCAGAGACTGCGGGAAATCTTCCAGAATGTCTGCTTTGCCTCAAAGACCCCCAATAAACGCTTTCCAAGAGCCTTTGACGTGGAACTTACGATTTAATGATGTTTCCTAGCGTGTGGTCTTCTTTGTTGATGGTGAACAAACAGGCATTGGGTACCTTGGTGTCCTTGTTAATGGTAATCCTGGGAAGAGGACAAAGCAGCAGGTGAGGACACAATCTCTTCAGCCATAAAGACCTCTCGGACTCAGAGCAGCAGAGGGGCTACACCCTGATTCTGCAAGGCCCTCACCTGCTCTGGACTGCTCCTTGGCACCAGTGACATTTTAGGGTGGATAATTCTACTCTGTAGGGAGCTGTCTTGTACACCGTAGGATATGAGCACCATTTCCCGGTCTGTACTCACGAGCAGCACCCACTTTGTGACCATCAGAACTGTTGGCAGACGTTGAAAAAGTCCCCTGGGGAGCAAAATGGCCCCAGATGCCAACCACTGTTCTCAAGGACGACGGAGAGGCTGGCAAGGGCTAGACCGCAGAGCCCTGCACACCAGGCTGTTAAGAAAAAGCCAGCGTTGGGGCGTCTGGGTGGCTCAGTGGGTTAAGCCTCTGCCTTCAGTTCAGGTCATGATCTCAGGGTCCTGGGACTGAGCCCCGCATCGGGCTTTCTAATCAGCGGGGAGCCTGCTTTCTCTCTCTCTGCCTGCCTCTCTGCCTACTTGTGATCTCTCTGTCAAATAAATAAAATCTTAAAAAAGAAAAAGCCAGTGTTTCAGAGGGTCTTCTGCGTGCTGAGCCCTGGCCTAAGCACTTTCAGTAAATTACCCCGTTAAGCTCCCCTCGGAGAACATCCTGTGATTGAATGCCGCAGGAAGCCTGTTTACCAGAGAAGGAAAACAGGCCTCGGGCAGCTTAAGTCACTTGCCCAAAGACATGGAGACGTTACGTGAGGGAGCCCAGGCGGAGAGACCAGGGGACCACATTCCCTCGCTCGCTGCAGGCAAGGAGCCCCCGTAAGCTCCTCACAGGCCACTGAGGATCGGTCGTGAGCCGGAGAGCCAGCCCTTGGCTTGCAAAGGCGGCGGCCAGGAGGCTGCCGGATCCCACAGGGAAAGCACTGTGGCGCCGGGCACCCTGGTTCCCATACACACCGCCACTTCCCGTGGGCCCAGGCAGGTCCCTAGCCTCTCCGCGCCTCGGGTTCCTCCGCTGCAGCACCGGGCCACTGACCACCGCCCCGCAGGGCTGGCGCAAGTCCGCAGACACAGTAAAAGCTGCTTCCGTCTCCCCGCTGTGGACGAGCCCGAGAAGCCCCAGGGTCCGCCCGCAACCCCCGGCCCACCCCTCGCCTGCTCCACTTACTTTTTCTCGCCCTCGAAGAGCAAGAACGACTCGAAGGCGGGAGGCGCGTTCATCCTAGCGCCGCACCAACCTCCAAAGTCGCAACAGCCACCACCACCGCCACCACCGCCACCACCGCCAGCAAAGCCCTAGAACACCACCTCTTCCGGGTTAGCGACTGCTTCCGGGTTGCGGCTCCGCACGCCCCCAACGCCCTCCCCACCCGTGAAGTCCGGCTGCTTGCCCCCTAGCGGCCCGGGGATGTAGTGCAGGCGCGAGAAAAGCCCGGGGACGGAGTGGGGCCGGCGGTTCTGCGCATGGGTGAACCGGGTTGCATCCACGCGTTCGTCGCCCGGTAGCTGTGCTTGGGGGCCCGCTGGCAGCGCCCGGGACAGCTCTGTGAGCGGTGCAACGGCCTCTCTCCGCTCCCCGTGATCCTTCTTTGGAAATGTGCCCTTGGAACACCCAGCGCGGGGCCCTCAAGTGGAGAATGGAGCCGCGGCGCAGGGGGAGCGGCGGGGTGGGGGGGGCGGGGGAAGCCTCGTGGGCGTCCGGGCCCCGATCGGGGCGGGTACGGTTAAACCCCCTGCCGAGGCTGCCTGCCACCAGAGGCCCCCTCCTCCCCGGCCGTGTTGTCGCCGGCTTGCCCAGTGGGCATGTGGCATGATGAGCCGCTTGTCGCTTGTCGGGCAGACAGCGGGTGAGGGCGGGTGTCAGGCAGGTGTACCCAGCGGGGAGAGAGGAGCTTGGAGGGCCCAGTGTCGGAGCCCGCTGGGAATGGCGGGTAGTTTGCAGACTGCAGTTTGTCATCAAGGCCCCACCGCGCTGTCTGAAGGAAGGGGCTGGGTCTCCCATTAGCTGCTGGAGCCACAGCAGCTGAGGACCCGCGAAGGAAACCAGAAGCTTCCACACCACTTCCTGAGAAGAGCCATCCCCTACTTGAGCCTTGGGCCCTGGGCCGAGGAAGTGTCATTCCCCCTGAGACCCACACCAGCCTTGATTCTCCAGGCCAAGTGGTGGGAGAGGGGGGCTCTTTAACTGGGAAGGGACAAAAGGCACTGAGGGGATGGTGCCCTAGGGCTGGAACCTCCACCCTCCGGGCCATCCTGGCCAAGTCTGGGCCAAGGATGCTATTAACTGGGCTGGCTGAGGGGAGGGGGCCTCACTCTCTGCCTGGTAGAACCCAGGGGGCAGGGGGGGGTACATGGGCAGCAGGGACAGTGCCAGGCACTTACTATAACCCCTCTTCAGGCTGCAGCGGCCACCCCACACCAGGACCCTTCTGGAGGAGAGGGTGGAAGGTGTCGCCACTGGGTGGCTGTGTGTGCATCCCCATTCCGGCTCCAGTGGCAGCCCCATATAGGCACGCCTCTCTTGTCCCTTCATGTTCTGTATTAGGGCGCAGTAGACCCTGGGGTCTGTACTTCCTGACCACAAGGTCCTGGAAACCCAAGGAGGCTGAACAGACATGAGGGCTTGTGTGAGGCCCTGAAGAAGGAGCCAGAGAACAGGGTGTTGGCGATGGGGGAAGGGCGGTGCAGACTCAGCAGCCCCAAGGCCAGGAAGGGAAGGTGAGGCACATTTCAGGCTCTACCCTGTGAGGGATATGGTGGGGACAGCAGTTTGGGGGAGAAATGAGTCCCCCTGCGATGTGGGGGGGTGGGCAGATGGGATACACAAAGGCTAAGGCTGCGGTGCCGGTCGTTGGCCAACCCCAAGGAGCCACGGGAGTCCCCAGGCCCAGGCCCTCCACCGACCCCCGTCACAAGACCCCAGAGCCCAGCAGTCACAGCAAGTTTATTGTCAGCAACAGAGCACCGGCGAAGCTCTCCCAGGGTGCCCAGCCGGTGGCTGGAGGGGAGAGGGGGCGTGGCAGCCAGGAGCTAGGGGATGCTGAGGTCAAGGACTGGGCGCCTGCGCTCCGTGTTCCCCTCCACCTCTCTGGGTCCAAGGAGCATCAGTTCCCCTGGGTTCGGGCCATCCTAGGGGTGGTTTCTGGCCAGGTCTACCCTGGGCAGGAGGGAGGGTCCCTGGAGAGTCTGGGCTAGCGCCAGCGACGCCCACAAGAGCCGTGGGGAGCAGCCAGGCTTCACAGAAGAGCAAGAGCACGCCAAGTCCCCTAGAGACTTCGGGCAGCCAATGACGGGCCTTCTGGACCCCCTGGACCTCCAACTCACCCAGCCCATGACAGCCCTAAGCCCTGCTCCCCCAGGAGTGGGAGTGAAGAGCCAAAAGCACACTGGGGGTCTCCAAGCACCCGGCAGGGGGCTCGGCGAGGGCACAGGGCGGGGGGCAGGCCTCACGTCTGCAGTGGCCCGGGGCAGCGGGGCTCCGAGGGCGACGGGTTGGCCAGGCCGGAGTGGTGGGCCTCCTGGAGGTCCCGCAGCACCTGCAGAAGCTGGGCCAGCGCGTCCTCGGGGGCTGGAGGCAGAGGCATGATGAGGGCAGAGCAGCCAGGGCCAGAGGCTCCCGGGGGGTGCGGCCCCGCCCACAGCACCCCAAAACGGAGCTCAGGCCACTGTGGGAGTCCAGCTGGGAGCAACCTACCTTCCCCCGGGCCAGTGTGCACAGAGCCTGCCTCTGTGCCCGCACTCAGCTCCCGGAGCTTCTCTCTGCAGGGGGGGACAGAGGGACAGCTCGTGAAGCCCTTGCCAGGAAGGCCAGGGAACCCCATGTGGGCCTCCTGAGCGGGAGGGGATTCTGGGAGGGAGGGGCTGACTCCTTCAATCTGGGGGGAAGTAACAGAGGCCCAGGTCGTGGTCCCCGGCCACCTGCCACCTTCCCTCTTCCAGCCTCCTCGGGTCCTCCCCACCTCCGCAACACTAGGACGGCGGAAGGCGCTATGGAAACCAAGTTCGAACCACAGAGGACCCTGGGGGAAAGGGCCCACTGGGGCCCAAAAGTCCCCAGTATTAACTGGCCGTGAAACAACTTTCCTTCTTAGGGGAGTAGGAGACAATGACAATTTAAGCACGATTCCTAACCAGGGTTCACCGGAGATCCCCGAGCCCTCTGAGGTACGATCCTGGGAGCTTACATGAAGGGAGAACCAGCAGCCACGGGGACCCCAGGCTTGAAGCTCCTTACTTAGGAATTCCACTGGCTTGGTCCTTTGGACGGTCTCCCTGACCCGTTTGGGAAGAGCTGTGTCCCTCTGCTAAGATCTAACATGCTCCTCCTCCCTCAGATGCCTTCTAGGCTGTGGGATCGGTCCCTGACCTGCTCCGCTCATTTGTTAACTCAACCCTGACTGCAAGAGAAGACCTCTGGGTCATTCCCAGCCAAGCGTCCAGTGATCAGTTACAGCAGCCCCAGGCCACTGCGTCAGGGACCAGATGAGCCGGTGGGGCAGAAGGGCCGGGCCAGACGCTACAGGATGGCGAGGAGGTGAGGCCGAACGAGAGCAGGGTGGCCAAGCGATTCCATAAGTGCGGGAGGCTCTCAAGGCACGGGGCTGTGGTCAGGCCCATGGCACTGGTCCCATGGCGGGAACCACCTGAACCCAAGGTAGCCTGGGATCGAGTCTTTGCTCCGCCGCTTCCTGGCTTAAATGGGGGACACAACTATGGGTCCCCAGAACAGAGCAGACGGTGGTGGCTGTATCTGGTAGGTGGAGGACGATGTCCCCGAGCCAGGGGGCCAGACGAGGGGTGGAGAGGGGGCCGGTGACAGGAGTGACCTGGAAGCTACTGGACACTGCAGCTCCCAGGGGAGTGCGCGGTTCTTGTCTGACCCCATGAGCCCCAGAAGGGTTTTTGAGGACGAAATAACGCCCTGGAAAAGTGGATGAGGAACAAGGACAATAGCCACCACCCTTCCAGGACGCAGGCATGGGGGTGTGCGACAGAAAACCGCCCCGAGGGCACCTGGGTGGCTCAATGGGTTAAGCCTCTGCCTTCAGCTCAAGTCATGTTCTCAGAGTCCTGGGATCAAGCCCCGCATCGGGCTCTCTGTTCAGTGGGGAGCCTGCTTCCTCCTCTCTCTCTCTGCCTGCCTCTCTGCCTACTTGTGATTCTATCGAATAAATAAATAAAATCTTTAAAAGAAAAAGAAAAAGAAAAGAAAACCGGCCCGATCCCAGCACGCTTAGGGAAGCAGGGGGCTACTCGGAGGTAAGCCCACACAGCACTGCGCCTCCAGAAATTCTGAGTCCGTGGGGGAGGCAGCAGGCATTCTGGTTGTTTCTGAGCGGGAGCCAGGGCCGAGACCAGGCATTAAGCAGCTGGCTGGGGACAATCCCTGTGCTCCCAGGGCACAACGGGAAGGCCGGACAGGCTGGGAGGCTAGGTCAGCCCGAGGCCAGACACAGCCGTGGGAGTGACCCGGGGCTTCTGTATCCTTGGGCCTTCATCCTCAGGTGAGCCTGCCTCCTGCCGTGGAGACACGTGTGCCCCTCCCCCGGTGCGGGGCCACAGGCAGGAAGGTGCCAGACCTGATGTACAGTAGGAGACCAGCCTCTGGGCCCCAGTTCCTGCCCTCTCCCGCCACACTCCCCGGGCCACACAGGCCTCCTCACCGCAGTGCGGCCTCCACGCCCAGCAGGTGCCGGTAGATAAGCTGGGCCTCCAGGTCATGGTCCAGAGGGTCATTCCACTCCTGGAGGGTCACCCGCGACCGGGTCTTGTCGCAGCCCAGATCTGGGGACACAAAGAGGGCAGGGTTGCAGACATGCCCCGTGAGAGTTTATGTCCAACTTCGTGGCAGTACAGGTGGGGACACCGAGGCCTGCAGAGGGACAGGAACGGGCTCAGGGGCCCCAGTGGGGGCAGCAGCTCATCTCTGTTGGGGGCAGCCCCCGAACCCAGAGATGCATGACGGCCAAGCACGGGAGCCGCACAGGAGACAGCTCAGGGGGCTGGACAGCTTTCCCGGTGGCTGCTGGCCTGGAAGGAAGAAGGGAGTGGCCTGGGACCGTAAGACCATGGGGACGGAAGCTGGAATGAGCTGGTCTTACGACCTTGGCAGAGGCATTGGCCCCTCCATGAAGTCTCCGTTTTCTCCTCCATAGAATGGGTTACCAGACCCTGCCTCCTAGCGCCCTAGGGAGCCCCCCCTTACCAATAACAAAGGCCATCGCCACAAAGGTCAAAGCCAGCGGCCAACCAACCAGTGACACTATT